CATTTTCCCCTAACCTCTTGGTTCGACTGAAGTGACCCCTTGTTAACCCTAGCCCAACCCCTAAACTGGGCCGCAGGGCGCGGGATGGCTTGTAACCGAAAACCATCTTGGACTCCCCAAAGCAAGGGAACCCCAGGGATGTGTGTGTATGTATGTATGTATGTATGCATGTATGCATGCATGTATGTATGCATGTACATATTTTTGTTACCATGTTCCGGGGGTGTTTGGAGAGCACATGATTCCCAGTAGGAGAGTAGGTTTTCAACGGGGCCCTAAGATTAGTCCCAAAACTCACGTGCGCAGTTTCCTTGAACAGAACTGAAGGCCACCGATTGGAGTGAACGTAGGGACTACACTACCCAACAAAGGATTCAAAGCTGGGTCAAGCCCGCATGTGAAGGACCAAAATTCCAAGGCTGCAAGCGAGCAAAGACAAATAGGTTTCGGGTTTAGGGTAACCCTGCACCGTGCAAACAGCATGTAAGTGCTTGCAGCTAGTTGCGACAAGTTCCCCTAAACCCTTAACCCTAAACCCTGAACCCTAAACCCTGAACCCTAAACCCTAAACCCTAAACCCGAATGTTCTTGGGGTTTTGAGGGTATACAGGTTGCTTCGGGCTGCCTGAAGCCTTCGGCCCGCCATCGCTAAAGCCTACAAAGCGTTGAACGACGAAACCGTCAGCCAGCCCTATCCCACTCTCCCATCCCCTTGATTTTTGTTAGGGCCCCCCTTGAAAAAAGGCTTATAGGTACCCTAAACCCCAAACCCTCAACCCTAAACCCTGCGATTAAGGCCCTGTAGCACGAAGAGCCAACCTCATCCTCCACCAAGACCTTCGCCCTCGATAGGAAGACCTCCAAAAATGCAGGCGGCACGGAAGGTTGGTTTTGAGTTTAAGGTTTAGGGTTTGGGGTTTAGGTTTGAGGGTTTAGGTTTCAGGGTTTCGGATTCAAGGCTACCTACATATTTGGGTGCTCCAAAGATTCACATGTTCACACATGTTTATGTACATGTATGATTTAAGGAACTCCTGCGTTCAAAGATTATACGTACCATTTCTTGGCATTGGCCTTGGTTTAGATGGGGGTTTACGAAAGTGAGGGACCCCTAAAATAGTCTATAGTAAGTAATAAGGACCCGGCTTCCCCCCCCCCCCCCCCAATTTTTCGTTTACTTGCTTCTACTTTTTGGGGGGAAAACTTAAGGTTGCATCGAGTCGAAAACCCTTCACCCTTAGCCCTAAACCCTTAACCCTAAACCCTAAACCCTTAACCATGGCTCTCAGGTTGATCGTTGCCTGGGCGTTTAGACGAAGCCGCTTGTTTTGTCACCCGCCAGGCAGACCAGCCACACTTCAGGGTCTTAGGGCTTAGGCTCTGAGGGTTTGGGGCCAGTCGGACACAGGCCCAGTGATAGACATGCCCAAATGCTGTAGCTGTGTTATGGTAGTGTGAAGAGGGATTGGCGTTGGGTCTCTAGGTGAGGGCCGATGGGTAGATTTTGGTTAGGTTTTCAAGACACCAGCTAGACCTATAGGCCCTACTTTCCTGTTGCTCGGAAGTTCACAAGCCGTACAGCATGCATTCGGAACATCCACAGGGCATCTTGAGGAACAGCCCCAAAGCTGCGTGCGCCTGGTGAACTCCGTCCTCTGGACGGTCAACCAGCCGCAAGCCTGTCTTCTTGAAGCTACATTTGAAGTGTTCGGGTTTAGGGTTTAGGGTTTAGGGTTTAGGGTGTAGGGTTTAGGGTTTAGGGTTTAGGGTTTAGGGTTTAGGGTTTAGGGTTTAGGGTTTAGGTTTTAGGGTTTAGGGGTTTAGGGTTTAGGGTTTCGGGTTTAGGGTTTAGGGTAGTTAAACTACTCGGGGATGCAATGTAGGTTGCCTTGCTCATATATATATATATATATATATATTTGCACGTACATCCACGTCTCGTGCGTGCATGCCCACTCTCTACCCGCCATGCATCCTGGAGTTGGTATAGTACTTTTTTCTACTCACTGTGGGGCTCCCCAGTCCCGAAACCCTTAAGTGGCCCCAAAATCCCGAAGCCCAAGCCCACGGCAGATGTCCAAGTCCGTGAAGTCGAAAGGGCCAAGCCTCGATGGTAGAAATTGCTGGTTTATTTGAAGGTTCATGTTACTTATAACCGTCACTATAACCCAGCTGTAACTGTACTTATAACCCACTTTGTAGTCCTTAGGTGCCCTAATCTTCGAACCTCTGGGTTTGGGGAGGTCCGAACACCTCCGGAAAGACCACCTGGACGGCGCCGTTGCGTGGTTATACGTCCATACTGGTATGTGCATTCTGTCACCTACCATGACGTGAAATAACATGACGTAACGTGCATACAAAACGACAGGGACAGAGAGAGAGAGAGAGATCTAAACCCTAAACCCAGACCCTAAAACCCTAAACCCTAAACCCTCAACCCTCAACCCTCAAGCCTATCTGTGCGCCTCTACACGCTTCACAAGCCGACTCCCAGGCGCGATGCGCCTTTACTGTGGTAGCTCGGCAAAACCCCACATTCCACGAAGGATTGCTCAATAATACAAACTGTACTCACAGCAGTGGCCACTCCTATGAAAGTCCACTGGATATCTCATTCAACATGTCTGTTCAAGCATGTCAAGGCAAATAGTAAGCAGCATTACCCAGGTGTTACAACAAGGTGAAGCGCTTCATACGGAAGCGACACCAAGAACTCCCGTCCGACTCTGCAACAGCAAGGGCGCTGGCTGATGGCATCGCATGACCTGCCCAGCGTGCACAAAGCTAGTAGAGTGCCGGACTATACTTGGGTATTTCCAAAAATAGAGGGTACCCTTAAAGTACCCCAAAAATAGTATAATCCGCACAATAGGAACCCCCAAAAGGGTACCCCGGTTTTTGGAAACCCCTATATATATATATATATATATATATATATATATATATTTGAGGTATGAAGATTTAGGGCTGGGACTTGGCAAGCTCCCGTTAAAGAGCGTCGGCCAGTCGCATGTTTCATGACAGCTTCGTCACGGAGAGTGTTTTTTTTTAAGAGGGTGCAGCAAACCCTAAACCCTAAACCTACAGAACTTCGCCAGCACGTTCACTGCGAGACTAGGATCTTGAATGCAGAGATCCAGTCCTGGCCCCTACTTGAAGGTTCATGGGTAGTGAGAGGTAGAATTAAGAGCACCCTTCATAAGGTCATAGCCAGTTGTAACTATAGTTACCCTACTTGTAACCCACCGCTAACTACCCTTGAGCCTCCAAGTAGGATGAAATATCCCCTGTGGCAGACCATGGGGCTTAAGGGTTTATGAGGGTTTGAGTTGTAAGGTGTACCTTAGCAACTCCAAACCTACTTCTCATAGGTTCTTGGTATACCACCCCTTTTGGGATTCTTAGGTAACTTACAAAAACCTGGGTTTAGGGTTTAGGGTTTAGGGTTTAGGGTTTAGGGAACTGGCCGAAGCAAGAAGCAAGAAGCGCGTTTTGGTCCCTGTGCTGGGCGCCATTCCTCGGCCATGGTGGCCAAAACTCCGGTCTTTCCAAGGAGATATGCAAAATGGGTACATGCATTCGCAATTTGAAAAAAACAAAAAACAATATATATATATATATATGTACATATATATATGTATAGAAATATATATATATATATATATGTATATATATATATATATCCTAGACCCTACTAGATCCTAAGCAGCTGCTGTGAGACCGGAGGTTTGGTCAGAGGTCTTCCGAATTGGGCTGCGGGCATGGGCTGGGAAGTGACGGCCGCCGCATGAAGTTTCGGGCACATGGCCCTACATAAACTTTAAATCCTAAAGTCCCTAAACCCGAAACCCTAAAGTTAGGGTTTCTGCAGCGCTATCTAAGGTTAGGGTTTAAGGTTGGGCCCTGAGTTGACCCGATGCCCTGTACCAATTGACAAGACAAATAGGGCCAAAGTGGCCCAGAATTTTACTCTACTCCCTATAGGGAGTTAACTACCCTAAACCCTAAACCCTAAACCCCCGTGCTCAGAGGCGTTTCCGCTCAAGGTTTCCACAGGTTGCTCTGATGGGACATTTCGACATGCCTGGTATCAACAGCCGTTTAGTCCAGGGCCCGATATGCTCTCTGGGTCCCCCCAGTAACCAGTACCTAGGACACAAAAGGTCACCCTTTTTGGTTCATAGTGCTCTTTGTGTTCCCCCAGTAACCTAGGAGAAAAAAGGGCACCCTATTTTGGGTTCAGAGGGGTTTGGAAGGGATTTAAGAACCCCTCCAAAAAGGGGGAAGAAGGGCGCTACTGGGCATCTTAGCTCTATAGTTTTGGGACTTAGGGTTTAGGGTTTTGGGTTTAGGGTTTAGGGGACTGAAGGTGCAAGCCTTTTGGGGGGTGTTTGGGGGGTTGGGCTGGTCGAGTCCAATTCGGACGACCAGGGGCAGCAGCTCATGAACCCTATCTATCGATTCTCCCTGCCCCTAAGCATTGCAGATTGGGTTCTATCGGTTCACCTCAGAATATAACTTGTTTTGTGATTTGTTTTTGGTTTGGGGGCCTTAGCCCTGGAAATTCCAAGAGGGCAGGGGGGGGGGGGGAACCAGCGGGGTGCTGGCTTAACGGGACGTGAAGACGGTCGTATTTACCTCGGAGGTAGATCTCGACGCGCGTGTGACGAGAAGTGTCACATGAAAAGAGGCTGAGCTGCTTCTACAACACAGGGATCCACGCCCCCCTGAAAGCTCTTGACTTCCTTCGCTTGCAAACCTGGCGCCGCGTTCTTCCGCCGCATGCGCGGCAGCCGCCCCACCTTCTGTGAGCTCTGCACTTCGATATGCCAGCTGCAGTTTAACGCAGCAGTCTCTCAGCTTGGAGAGGGGCTGTCTGTCTAAGCCGACCACCACAAGTACCCTGAAGTTGCCGTCCCCTGCAGTCTTTGGAGATATTTCGGTGTTGGTGTAAGGGGGGTTGGTGGGGGGGGGGGGGAGGAGCCCATGAATGCGGGCTATAAAGGCAACCTGCTGCTTACGGCACCTAGGGTGTTTTCGGCTGTGTAGGTCATGTACAGGAATCCGTCATCGGACTTATGGTTCTCGTAGATCTCTGCGAGAGGCGCACCCGTCTTCGTGGCCTGGTTTCGATGATGTTGCAGGGTTTAGGGTTTAGGCTTTAGGGTTTAGGGATAAGGGTTTGGGGTTTAGGGTTTAGGGCTTCTACCACTCATCACTGCTCATGCAGGGATTCACGCAGCACCAGCAATGCCATGACAACTAAACGAGCGCTGGTTTAGGCTTCTGAGGATTGGGTTTGGGGTTTATATAGGGTTTAGGGTTTACGGGAACGCTCCTGCCTTGTTGTCTGCTAGGAGATAGATCACCTCGAGCAACGCAAATATCCGCCAAAGCCCTTGCTTTGCTTCTGGGAGGGTCCACATGCTCAACTCCGAGCCCTAAACCTTAATCCCATTTTGCATAAGCAAGCAATCTCGGGGCTCAGGGGCAATCTGCAGGGATCTTCAGCTGTCATGACCTGTGGCTTAGCAAGTAACCATGATTCAGCACCTAAACTAAACGGAGCATCCCCTTCCGCTGGTGCTGCAGAGGAGCTTCCTGCGATGACATGGCTCCACCTGCTGTCTGCTGGACCTGGAACAGCCCCGTTGTTCACAATAGCTTTAGCTTCTCGCCAGGCTTGAAACCTGAAGCCCAAACCCGGCCCTACAGCAGAGGTCAGGACACAGGGGTTCGTGGTTTGTGGAGGGGGGGGGGGGAGGGGAGGGGAGGGGGGGGAGGGGGGGAGGGGGGGGGGAGGGGGGGGAAGGGGGGGAGGGCAGGGGGGGGAGCGGGGGCGCGAAGGGGGGAGGGGGGGAGGGGGGGCCTTACTATTTTGGGGGCTTGCCGGACCTCAATAGGGTTTGTGTGCTAGCTAGGATTCCAAGCGCGAATCGACAAGCATCGATCCGGCACTTTGGGCGCGTGCACACAAGACACCCACAAAGCTGCGAGAGTTGTCACCTGGATTTTGGCGCATGCTTCTCTCCTGGCGAGGGATATCTGGCAGTTGATCAAAAATACTTTGTCCCGGAAACATATCTTGCGCCAAAATTAAACTTCCTTTCGCGAAACTTTAGCGCGCCTAATCGCGGGCACTCCTGAACCCTAAGACCTACAATCCAAATGGTATGACGCCTCGGGTTGAAACAGGGTGGGGGGCTGAGGCTTGTAGGAGGTGAGCTTAGGATTAGAGGGCTGGGTGCAGGGTTGAACGAAGATTGAGCCTAGGGCTGAGATGTCCACGCGCGGAAAGCTGCAATCGCATCCATGGCGCCTGCTGTACGTACTACAGGTACGCACATGCAAACTTCTTGAGCAGATGCCACGTGGGCTGGGCCCTTCATGGGATACGTTAGACTTTCGCGGGACTTTCGCGGAGCTTGCGCCAGTCTTTCGCAACATTTTGGCTTTCAGAAACGGATTTCCTAAACCCTAAACATTCAACCCTTAAACCCTAAACACTGAAAACCCTCGCGGCGTGTAGTGTAGTCCAAGTTGCGATCATGCCACTAGTGCATAGCAAACAGGCGCCTTGCGTAAACACTTTCGCCAATAAAAAACTTCCTTTGGCACACCTGTTCGCGGATCTTTCGCGGACACCTATACATCCTTGAAATGCAGGTCTTATACAAAATCCTTACAAGGACCTTTTGATCAACACCCATCTAAACAATGCCATGCATGAGGCAACAAAAACAAACTTAACAAGCCCAGGAGCCTTATGGATATTGTTCAGGACGATGCCTTTGAACTCCCAACAGAGCATCGAAGAGGGAACGAGGAACTTCCTTGCAGCGTCTCCAAGGTACGGTGTCTCCCCGAGTGTAAGGTTGAACTCAAAGTATGCACATATATATATATATATATACAGTCATACCACTGCATGTACACATATACACACACAGAAACATACACACATATAAATATAAGTATAAGTATAAGTATAAGTATAAATATAAATATAAGAAATATAAAACAAACAATTAAAAAAACACAGAGAGCAAAAGTAATAATAACAATACAAATGAAAATAACAATGAATACAAAAGATATATATATATATAAGTGAAAAATTGAAACATAAACATGAAAGTAACAATTAAAATGAACAAAAAACAAAACAACAATGAAACAAAACCATAACATAGAAATGAATAAACATAAATATATATATATATATGTATGTATGTATATATACATATATATACACACATAGTGTGTATGTGTACATAAAAATCTGTGCGTATATGTATGTCCGTTGTATATGCGTGCAAGACATCGTTTCTTTTGTAGGGTTCCAGGGCGTGCTCTTGGGTCTTCGCTTCTGGCTCCAGGGGGCTCGGGGAGTGGCCGTTGAATATATATTTAAATTTAAATTTATTGTTATTTTCATTCATTTAATTTTTCCTGTTTATTCTTTTCGTAGCCTGAACCTTGCACGCCCGACAGTGTGAATGAACCCTGTCCCCAAATTGGAAAGTTCAGCCACCAAGACCCCCTAAGCTCTAATGCGCCCGTAGCCTTTCGTCCCGAAAGCCACGACTCGTCAAAGCTCAAACCCTCCCAGGAAGTCGTTAGGATGAGCTTGGAGGTTCAGGGTTTAGGGTTTAGGGTTCGGACGCCCACAACCCTAGGCGAGACCTCCACATGGTCCATGCATATCGCCTCGATACGTTGGTAGTTTGAGCATTGCGCTCCCTCACAAGTATGGTAAGTAAATCATGATCATCATCGTAACAGTAGGAATGACATGTAATCGCCGTCCCCATCATAATCATGGCAATAATGCAACCCTATATCTGTCGACCCGACATGAAAACCCGATTCTGCTGCCGAGGGTCTTCTTCTGAATTTCTGGGAGGGTGCACGTCGGCGCCTTCTCACCTGAGGGCGCATCGAGGATTGCCGGAGTCACAGTGCCACGTCAGGCCAGTTGTGGTCTTGTTCTGAAACCCCTTGCCAGGCAGTGTGGGGCAACCACTTGCGGCTTTTGGGGTTTTGGGTTTTCGGGTTGTTTCGAGCCGGAGGCATTCTGGCTCTGGCAGTCTCAGAAGTTTGTGTGTGCTGAGCTCTGGACATATGACTGGAATCCGGTCCGGATACTTTGCCAGTATCCTCGTTGCTTCCGCAGCGCGCTTCTCGAAGGGAATGCTCCTTGGCTGATGGAAGGGGGAACTACGGGTTGAGGGTTTAGGGGCTCTGTGACAGATGCAATGCTTCTTCACCCTCTTAAGTAAACCTGATTTCTACACTAGAGTGTTTGCTCAGCAATGCTGCTGCTCTGGATGTTGACAACAAGTCAATCAGAATCGCTGCACAACGTGACCTCTGGTTCCTGAATTCACCGGTACTTCTCTCTGGCTGTTGCTTAACTGTCCGGAAACCCTTTCTTAACACCGGTCTGCAAACCCCGAAATTCTACACCCTACACCCTACACCCTAAACCCTAAATCCTGAACCCACAGGGCTTTCAATCTGATCCACTCTTTGAGGCTGGTTGTAGCAGCCATCTCGCCGGCCGGCCTGCTTTCTGATGCCATGCGCTGACTATACTCCCCTTAGAACCCTAATAAAAACAATGTATTTAATAACCTCTTGGGTTTTATATAAACAAAAATAAAGAATAATTCCCAAGCGGGATATAGCTGAGTTGTAGTTGCATCAAACCCATGGAACTAGAATGGGTGTTTCGGTAGCCTTCCTCAACGTTCGCCTGCGAGACACCCACCCTGACTCACAAATGCCCAACGAACAATCCTGGAAAACCGCCGAGATTCTGCAGGCCACAAGAAGTGTAACTAGCATGCGCACAAAAAGATACCAATAAGTCAACATATGTGTAGATGTATATGTGCAGGTATGCATGTGTGTGTGTGTGCGTGCGTGCGAAGTGTGTGTGTGTGTGTGTGTGGGTGCGTGCGTGCGTGCGTGCGTGCGCGTGCGTTCGTGCGTTCGTGCGTTCGTGCGTGTGTGCGTGTGTGCGTGTGTGCGTGTGTGCGGTACCTTTCGGATTCTTTGGCTGGTCCACCTTCTTACAACAGATGGTTCCAAGCGCAAAATTTAATAATGATTTGCTATTTGCTAAACGTTGAATTGTAATTGGACTTATGGATGTACATTATGCAGTGCGAATGTGTTCTCGCTTGTCTTTGATATGGATCTGATGTTTTGACATGTGTAGTGGTGCATAAACATTGCGATTGGCATGTGCGGTTCTACGTACCGCCGATCTCCCGACATGCTTCATTATACGCATGCCTCGGCTCCTGAAACAGTACATGCACACAGACCTGTTGTTCAGCATGCACCGTTTCACATAGACCTGGTGTTTGACCAAGTGCTTGAAACTTGAAATGCTTCCGTTTACAGACCTACAAGGCTTGTGTATGCATGTCTATCTACATATATACATATGTGTAACTATCGTGTACATATACATGTGTATAAATACACAAACTTGTTTTTCAAAACTCCAAAGCACCTTGCATGCACTAAACCCTAAACCCTAACCGGCAACCCCAAACCCTAAACCCCAGAAGCTCTAAACCATGTGGGGGATACATGCAGAAGCAGCAGAGAACGGCCTGGCTGAAGAACTCTGTACACAGCCACGGTCGCGGTTTGAAGGATGTCAGCTGCGGAATTCATAGACGGTAAAAAAGCATGATGAGACAGGCCTTGCAGCCCCTAAACCCTAAATCCTAAACCCTAAACCCTAAACCCTAAACCCCAACGCACAAAAAAAAGGGTTTAAGGCTTAGGGCTTAGGGGTTGGGGGTTTAGGGTTAAGGTCAGCAAAAAGTAGACGAGTGTCAGATGATCTCTTTGAGGGCAAGGGCAGGAACTGCGTGCAAAGGGATTTGGTGTTAGTTTGCAGGTGTCTTGGGTTGTAGATTTTTTTTCTGGCCGCAGAAGCAGCTGTCGTCGTAGCATGTTATTGCCAGTCGCCGGGAATGTGTGTTCCTGCATGCTTGCAGAAACTTTGGCACCATTTGCATGCAAAGTGAAGTTGTAGCGAGTAGCTCTGCCAAATGCTGTTGTACAAGATTGCCCGGTAGACTTGCATCTGAGTCTACTCAAGTGGCTTTGCCACAGCCTGCGCCGACTATTCCACCGTGGAATGTGGCAGCATCTGTCTGTTCTAGCACAGCCATTGAAGACAAGAGGGTTGAGTTAGTTGCACCTGCTCAGGGACCAGTGGCAGCTGTTCATAGCGGATTCTGCACCGGAATTCTAACCCTACCTCTTGTGGCGGATGCCAGTGGGAAAGCCTGCAAAGCATGATTCCCGACTCAACCCCCGGAAGAACGGAGAGCCGGCCAGGCTCCCAGGCCTTGGTTCAAACAAGTCTAGCCGATTTTGTACAACGGAGATTCGCTCCATGCTTTCTCCGCGCTTGAAGCTATGAAAAAAGCCACGTGCAGCAGAAAATAGCTGAGTGTATCAGTTCCTGGCTAGAAGAGTTAGCGGGGCGTGGCCATTCTACCCTTGGAGAACGAGCTTCCAGGCTGTACACATGCTCGAAGCTCTGTGATCGGAGGAGTGGGCAGTTAAAAGGGGGAAGCAGGTCGTCGAGACATTGTTACACATGTCCAGAAAGGCCAAGATGGCCTCGACACGACTGATCAGGGCCCCCAACGCTATACGGCTCCTGGTAGGGTTTGGGGTTTGGGGTTTGGGGTTTGGGGTTTGGGGTTTAGGGTTTAGGGTTTAGGGTTTAGCTCTCCAACATCATCAAAAAAAGGGTGGCGGGGAGCATCCTTGCACTCCCACGCACTTGCCTCCTCCAACCCCACTCCTTTGCTTCCCCGTGCGGTTTTGCAAGTTCTCCCACTTGCCAGCCTTACGGCAGAATTCCAAAACATGCTCCCCCTGAACCCTAAACCCTAAACCCTTAAATCTGGGAAGGTTTCCGGCGAAGCCGCACTGGGAAATCGACCCAAGCCACTGACGCATGGCAGAGCAAGCCGGGCCATCACCGCCTCCCTCTCACAATGCATCTCCCAGCTCGAGCTTCACCGATATTTCATTTGCAACATGTATATACAGATATATATATATATATATGTACACAGTTTATGATATATAACATCAACATACCTTATGTTAAAATGTAGATAAACAGAAATTGAAAAAGCAAACGTATACATATATATATATATACATACATACATACACATAACTACCAATAACGATGTCTGAAAGCGAAGTTGGTCTATCTCGATTCCCGCTTCTCTTCGTCACTGCATCCTAACAAAAGCGCGGGTAAGGGTTTAGGGTTTTGGGTTTAGGGATCTTAAACTTTCGCATTGGAACAAGGGCATACTATTCGGCATCTTTGTGCCGAGGTGACCGATTCCGGCCCCCCCCCCCCCCCCCCCCCCCCCCCCCCCCCCCCCGCCCGCGAAAGTTCACAGGTGGGATGATAGGGATTGTAGTACACCCGACTGTAATGCCCATTAAGGACTGCTAGTATAAGGGGGGAACATCACATCCCGAGTTCACAGTGCCTAGCCTCATGCTTTCTGCAAGACCTTAGAAACCTCAGACAATGGATTCCTGGAGCCGCGCCCGTGCCTGCGCCTTTTTGACAAATGCCTTCGTTTTTGGACGAAAATCGGGCTCTGGGCTCAAACATGGCTTCCGCAAATAGCGCACGCGTGTTTTGGTTTCGGCTGCCAACTCTCACTCTGGCCTGCGTGCCGTGCATCTTGCATACTCGAGATCCTGTCTCGCTCGCCTCGGCCCCACGCGCCTCTCCTCGTCAAATAAATGCAGAACTCCTCATCGAATCTGGAACCTCCTTATCTCGCGACATGGTGTGCTCTCTAGCTTTTTTCAGGCTCGTTGTGCGTGTTCGCCTTTTGGCGGCCCCAGCGCCCTCACCTGCAGAGCTGCCGTCGCTTTTGGCGCCTTCCCTGCCGGAAGAAAAGCAGAAACTGTCGTCGCTTCTCAAGCCTCCGTGCGACAGTGCAGAACAGTGCTCGCTGTTGTGGTGCCTCGATTGCCCGACATCGCTCTAGCAGTGGTCTCGGGTGGCTTGGAAGCTCGTGCACTTGGAGTGCCATTGGAGATGTTACTAAAGTGGTGCTGGAGTACTCCTGAAATGCCTTGGTATAGTCATACAGTGCTTGGGGTCTGTGCTGGCAAAGATTCCACGGGAGCTCCTGAGGGCATAAGGTGCCGAATGGGTTTATCCAGTAATATGGGGTTTACGAAAACAAGGAAACCCTAATATAGACCCCCAATAGTAGGATTCCCTAAAACTCCAATAAGGTACCTCGAACCGGAAACCCCACATATGATCGCTGCCAATCCCCACGGTGATGGTCGCAGCCCATTGCCCCGACAAAGCAAATGTTGTCCACACGGCAGCTGGGCGATTAGCCGCAGCAAGCACGAATTTTCTGTCCGGGAAGGAAGGCCCCATGCCTGGTTGGAGGACCTCTATGTCTATGCCCCATCTATATGCCCAACAAAAAACCCAAACCCTAAACCCTAAAACCCCAAAACCCTAAACCCTACACCTTCGGGGCTCGAGCTAAGAACTTCGGCCGCACGACCAAAGACTCCCTGTGAGGCCCCGAAACCCTAAAGCCTAAACCCTCAAGGCCCTGGTAAAACCCTGCACCATCCTTGGGGGGGACCAAATGAACCCTAAAGGGGGTTTATGGTTCATAGGGTTTAGGGTTTAGGGTTAGGGATTAAGGGCTCAGTTGCCTTTGAAAAGGATTAGAATAGTATCGGCTGTACGACCCCAATGTTGGGGTTCATTGGGTCCCCAAGAATATTGTGCTTTCCAACCCTGCTTCAGTTTGAGCCCCCTCGCAATTTCAAGGGGCCCTCATCCCAGCGTGTTCTCAGCGCTGTAGGCGATGTACAAGAAACCGTCGTCGGACTTGTAGCCGTCGTAGATCTTCAGAGGCTGGGAACGGCCCATATAAAGCTAGTTGTTTATGGTTTTTGTGTTCAGGGAAAGGCTGCCCCTCACACGCCGAATAAACTCAAGGAAGAAGGCCACTGTCCGGACAGACTTTTGCAATGCCATTGCGATGCTTCACAGAACTAGAACTGCAAGCCCCATACTCACCAGGTTTGTGGGGTATACATCTCTATGTATGTAGAGAGTCACCTGCTGCCCTCAAATACTCTTGCTCAATGGTCGACAGCCTCTCTTCTCCATATGGTCCTTTTTGGGACTACTCTTATAGGGTGGCTTTAGGGTCTCTCCAAAAAGGAGCCCTAACTTCGAGAACCGCCCATATGTGCGGGGACCCAAACCGCTGGAAGTGTGACGTCAGACCTCGCCTCGGACATCAGTGCACCCGTCCTCAGTTTCTAGGAAGGGCTCGCACCAGCAGAACGGGTTAAGGGTTCAGGGTTTAGGGCTAAGGGTTCAGGATTTAGGTTTAGGGTTTAGGGCTTGGGTGCTGGAGGGTTTAGAGTCCCTCTGTCAGGAGTGCAGGGGACTTGGGGGCTGTGGGATTGTGGGCTCGTGCGGGCTTTTTAATGACAAAAAGGGCTTGAAGGGAACCCCAAAAAGGCTTTTCGGGGTGTGGGCGGGGCTTAAGCCACTTGGAGAGGCTGGGCCTGGGAACCCTACACCCCATAAGCCCTTGTTGATCCAGGACTCTCGAAAATCCCCAAACCCTGATTTGCGAGCTGGGCATCTTCACAGCGGTGTTACTGCGCCCGTTGGTGGTGAAGAGGTAGATGACCTGCCATGCGAAACCTCGAAAGCCTTGCACACAAAGAAGCCCCAAGCCCTGACTCCAAACCTGCATACTAAGCAGCTTCCTTGGAAAGACGAAGCAGCAGAGACCATGGGACATACCGCAAGTAGGGGGGGGAGCGCTGTTACACAACATTCTTACTACCTAAGGTGCCAATAGAGACCAGACTTTGTTTTATCAATCCAGGTGATGATGAGACTTTGGAAAAACAAGCAGCGTGTTCCGATCTGGAAGAAATTCAGATCTGGAGCACAAGAAAAACAGAAAGCAGCTAACCAATCTCCCACAGAGTAGAACCCGCGTGGAAGCTTGAAACCTCACAACCTAAACAGCCCATGCAAACCGTAACCTCAAACTCAGCGCGAAAAGTATCTACCAGAGAATGCAAGCCGTAAAGTTGGTATATCAGCGAAGGTAAACCCTTGAAGCCCAATCCCCCGAATTCTCCACGCCCCTAAACCCCTCAAACCTCTATGCACCAAATATGCAAACATATGTGGGGTTAAAATACATACATACATGCATATGTATATATGTATATATATATATATATATATGCGTATGTATACACGCATCCCCTTGGAGCGCAAAACGCCAGCCCTGGCCTGGTCCGCAGCCAGGCCGGTTCCATTGGCCGCCTGCTGGATGTGCTTGTGCACGATGTACTTGAACTCTCCGCACAGCCTCGGGGGTTAGGGGTTATGGGTTAGGGGTTAGGGTTTAGGGTTTAGGGTTCAGGGTTTAGGGGTTACGGGTTAGGGGTTAGGGGTTAGGGGGGAGGGGGGAGGGGGGAGGGGGGCGGAGGGTTTGTCGGTGTGGGTGTAGCGGCCCAGACCTGGGCCCCTTTTCAACCCTAAACCCTAAACTCTGGAATTCTAGAAACTATAAACCCTGCTGGGCCATGAAAGTCCTCGATCTAGGATTTTGGAGACTGTGGGTTTCGGATTGAGTTGGGGGTTTTAAGGATGTCGCGGTACGAGGTTGCAACCACTGGTTCAGAGGTTCAGGGAATCTGCGCCCCTTCTCTGTTTCTGGTCCGCGTGTCCCATGGTGTGCGAGAGAGCCATTTACTCGGCCAAGACATCTCGGAATAAGTGTGACGGTTTGGGATGTTCCCCCTTATAATAACAGTCCTTAATCGGGATTGTAGTACCCCCTTATTCTAATCCCTATTAATGACTGTTTGTAAAGGGAAACAGTGACAGTCAATGTCCAACGTACACATTCAGGAAACGTTGCAGGTTCCAATCGTGAAAAAAGCGGTTGAGTTTACGGGCCCACCCTAAACCCTAAACCCTAAAACTTAAACCCTAACACTCAAATGGCACGCCCACGCAAGCAACCGAATGATCGCCAAGTGGCATGGAGCCGGGCACCAAGAACTTCTTCCTTTGGTCTTCTGATATTGGGGTTTAGGGTTTAGGGTTTAGGGTCTCGGAGGTTCATGGGCAGTTGTAGTTGGGGTTTATAAGTAGGGCAACTATACTTATCACTGGTTATGACCTTATCTAGGGTACTTACTTATAACCCTACTATGTAACTACTGCAACGAAACCCTAAACCCTAAACCCTGAAGCCTGAACCTTCAAGTACGGTTTCGGCCTACAGGACCTACAGGCAGCAGCCAGACCTTCGCCTCCCCCACCCCCCATTGGCCCAATGGGGTTTAGGGTTTAGGGTTTAGGGTTTAGGGTTAGTCATAACAGCAAGTCGCTTCTCGATCTCGGGCAGGTTGGTGCGCGGCGCCTTGGGGACGAAAAGTATAGGTCAGCATGACACAGACATTTTGGAGCATCTGGCCGCAAACCTTCTTGACAGCATCACCTAAACCTAACCCCCCTCTCAAATCTCGAAGCTTGAACAGAAGCCACGTCACCAAAGTTGCAGCCTAAATCCTGAAGACTTGCAGGGGCCTCGTGGTGCCTCTACTCTACTTACTTGGGTTTGCTTACACGAGCTTCCGATTCCAAAGGCCTACATGCAGCACAAGCAGGTATATGGGGGTTTATGAGAACAAGGGACCCTGGTATAAACCCCCAAATAGTAGGATCCCCATATAATAAGGACCCCAATATGGTACCCACCTAAGGTACCCGCCCTATATCGTAAACCCCCAAGTGGTCTCAGAACTGCGAATTCCAGAATTATACGGGAGCCTTTTCGCAGATCACCGGGACGCGGTCCGGATACTTGCCTGAGATGGGCTGACGGGCAGCGAATTTAAACACACTGAGCCGGTAGCCAACCTAGTGGTCTTCTTCTGCTAAGATCTACTTGCCAGGCCTGAGCGATAGAGAAATTGTCGCGTGAGACATGCCCGTGTAGCAGGTGGGGGCATGTGCGATTCATCCACTGCATTTCTCTGGCTCCAACGGGCTTCATATTTGCGGAATCTTATTCCGTGAAACATGGTGACACTTGCATCGCGTGCTCGGAAAGGCCAGCCCCCGTGCCCCAATGCCTGTTGAACCAGCTTATTATAGGGTTCTCGAGGGAAGGGGGGTTCAAGGGGGTACGCAACCCAAGGTTCCCTACACCCTATAAACCCTAAACCACCCTACGGTGCTTCTCTCCAACAGGAGCTGCGCGTCTAAGATCGTCTAAGCCTTGCAAGTCTACTATACCCCCTCGACTATGGGACCCCAAAAAGCCGAGGTGTCCCGAAACCAACAGTAGCAACATGCTCTAGACTACTTGGTAGCCCAGTAACTATATTACAATAAGGGCACCCTTCTTTTGGTTGGTTACTTTATAAGGGAACCCAGAGCAAAAAAAAAGGGTAAAGGGTGCCACCGGGCTACCGAGACTACAGACATCTATGAACCTTAATGAAACCCCACGGCTGGTGGAAGCCCCCCCCCTCCATACACCCCAACTCTAAACGAACCCTAAAACACGAAACCCTAAAACCCTGAAACCCTTGAAACCCTAAAACCCTAATAATGTTGACTTCACATTAGTGGATCCACCCGCAATTGTAAAATCCCGCTGCCGGAACACAATAGTGTAGCCCGCCACAATTGTAAAATCCGACCCGGGAAATCCGGGTTTTACGGGCGTGGTGCTACTACCTAATACTAAAACTAATAGTACGTCCTACCAGGATTTAGGCGAACAGTATTGAGGAGGCCCTGGCCGGAGAGATTGATCAATGAAGGGGGGGGGGGGGTTTATTAATGCGAAGTCAACATTAAACTAAAAAACCCTAAAACCCTAAACCCCCTCAAACCCGTAAGCCCTGCAATGCCCAAATTTGCCGGGGCGCTGAGAATCCTGGAGGCCTCGGCCGCGCGCTTCTCGAAGGGCACCGTCTCCTGGCGTCTGTTTAGGGTGTAGGGTTTAGGGTTTAGGGTTTCAGTATGGTTTTTTCGGGTTTTTCATAGGGTCTTTAGAGGGTTTTCAAGGTGTAGGATTCATTTATAGGGTTTCTAGGGTAGACAGGGTTTAGGGTTCACACCGAGATCTCATGACAGGTTTCATTCTGGGGCTTCCTAGGGTTTTGTAGGGCTTTCAGGGTTCCATGATAGTGTTCTACCTACCTACCTAGACCTACACGCACGCATACATACTTGGAGTGTTCTTTAGGGTTTCTTCGGCATCGAAAGGGTCTATAAAGAATCTGAATTATATATATATATATATACAAAGTAGATATGCAAAAGCCTAGTCTGTATATATTAATGTAGAAATATCCATTTATACAAATTATGTATATATATATGTATATATTATAAAATATTATATTATATAACATTATATAATATTGTTTTACATTATAATATATCATATTACATAAATTATATTATATTTTATTATATATTATATTATATTATATTATTTTATTTTATTTTTCTATTATATATGTATATATATATATATATATTATACACATACATATATACCTGCATATATGTATCTACTTCAATCCTAGGCCCCTGAAGGCCGCGGATGCTGTTGTGGGCATTAGAAGGGGTTTAGGGCTTCTTACCGCCGGCCCGGCAGCCTCACTGCACAGCACAGGGTTTAGGGTTTAAAGGTTAGGGTTTAGGGTATCAACCTTTGACAAGCGCTAGAGAGGAGGTACTTTAGGACTTTAGGGCTTGGGTTTAGGGTTTAGGGTGTTTCCTTTCATATCTTGGCTATCAAGTCAGAGGAGCGAGGATATGGCAGGGAAAGAGCTGAGATGGAATATGAAGCAGGATATGGATTGAACCATGTAAACAAGTGTTCAGATTGGCTCCTGGGGCTCGCGTGAGATTACATGCTAAGGCCTGAAATGCACAAGCCCCTAACCCTTACCCAAAAGTATCGAGGACCCATAAACCCTACAGACAGTCAAAGCCACGTCTCTGTACCCCAAGCCCTCTCCTTCAGCGACATTTCCGAAGCCGTGCCTCAGTGTTCTGTCTGTCATGCAGCCTTTATGTTCCCCGGCTTCGGTTTAGAGGGCAGGTTCGGAGTTCGATGCCCACCTTTGTAAGGGGCACTTCGGGAAAAAAACTCAGAGGGTCCAAACCCTAAACCCTAAACCCTGATTCAAACCTACAGGTGTCGGAAGTTTTGGATGCGCATGTGCCGGGAGCTGTAGCTGGCAGCTTGGGTCAAAGATGTTTGCAGGAACAAAATACTGACAACGCTAACCCCTTAGATCCTATTTTTTTTGCACTCGCCCCAAAACAATCCGGAATTCTTTGCAGGAGCGGCTAGGGTCGGCTACATGTGGCGAAGCCGGCAGAATAAAAACTGTTGTCCAGGGCGCGGACCTGGATGGCTGCGCAGTCGAAAGGGTCTTTATAGCCTTCTAGAATTGAGGCGAAAAAGGCTGCGGAGAGCGATAGGAGCTTTGGAAAAAACATACCTATTTTTGGGGTTTCCGAAAATAGGGGTACCCCAAAATATACCCCCAAAAACTCGAATCCTTTTAAGGAGAGACCCAACAAGGGTACCCCCCCCCTATTTTCGGAAAGCCCCATGTAAGCTTAAGGTTCAGGCCATGATGTGCATCAGCCTGTATGATTATCTTCTTCTGTCGAACAACGAAACCAACGCCCAACTTGGTGGTGAGGATATACAATGATATGCACACGTGGCCTGCACATCGAGATGGGCCCATTTTGCTGGTTGTGGGAGCGCCTTTGCGACATCTGTCCTGCACCCCAGCTCAAGCGCATTGTTTGCTGAGATCTGCTCTGTTTATATGGCGGTCAAATTCGCAGAGACTCAGACAAGCACTGGTGTGAACGCGGCCCCTTATCTCGAAAATGAAGAGACTGAATGCTCGTGTCTGTACCGGCGTACCGGCGAGTATCTCCCCAACATGTGCAACAGAATGCGCTGGAGCTTCTCAATATTGTTTTCAACCGACCAGGATGTTTCAGCAGCCAGCTGCGTCCTCCGACAATGCAAAAATAGCTTTAGCATTCCGAGCCCTGGCCACGGGAAAGTTGCCGGGATGGCCCTTTCAAACACTCAGGGTTTAGGGTTTAGGGTTTAGGGTTTAGGGTTTAGGGTTTTCATAAACATGAACCGCCAAAACCCGATAAGGGTAAAAACGTAAAATCGTCAAAAAGGGCCTACCTAGATTGCCATCTGGTCTAGACCCCCTCTCTCTCTCTCTCTCACAGGCGCTCAGTCAATGTCTAGCCTAAACCCTACACCCTCAAACCGGGTTCAGAATGTATTCGCTCAGAGGCCCTGCTTCTGGGACATATCGTTGAATGATGGTTGTTTGGTCTCACGCATAGCTGCCATTGCTGAATGAAAGGGTGGGGCTGCAATCCTGAGCCCTGACCCCAAAAACCTAACCCTAGGTCAGCCCATGCAAACTTTTCAACTTTCAACATGCGCAGGTTTCTTTATCATATGGACAGACCAAAAAAAATGTGATTTTGTTTGAACTTTTCCTAGTTCTACAGTCACGTATGCAGATATTCACATATATATATATATATATATATATACATATACATATATATATGTACATCTAAATATGTGTATATGTATTTGCCATCATGCAAACATGTGTATATACATGTGGTATATTACAAAAAAACAATATGTATATATACATATATATATATATGTGTGTGTATATATTTATCTTTATTCTTGTAATTAGATTCATTTTTTGTTTATACTTCTTGTCATAGACAGGCAAGGAGGCGCCCGGGCTGCTGCAGCATCCTCTGACTTCAAGTAAATTTTCTGCCTTCAAAGGTCGGGATCCTGCAGGCTACACGGCCGGCCGGCTTAGGGTTTTTGTGTAGGGTTTAGGGTTTAGGGTTTAGGGTGAGTTTTTGTGGGTTTAGGTATTGGAGTCTTGGGGCTTTAGAGTGACCTCGTGTGTTTTGGGGTTAGGGTGGAGTCACTGAGTCTCTCCTGTTGGGATTCGGCCGCGTCAGTTCGAGGTGTCAAGGTGTAGGGGCAGGGCCCCCCTCATCCCCCCTCCCGAGAATATGACGTACCCTCAGAACGAGGACCTTATACGCATGAGTCGAGCATAGTAGGCAATACCAGGGACTATGGGTTTTTGGTGGAGAGGGTTATAATACCAAGGGAGAATGGAAGCCTGCCGTATAGTCCTGGCGGCCATCGTGCAAGCGTCAGGCCTCGTCGCTTCTGGTTGGCCTGACAAAAGCCTTGCTGGTCACAGACTTGCACAGCCGCAGCCCTGTTTGCTTGGGCTACGGTAGGTTTTCATGGGCGTTTCAACAATACAATTCCGCCGTACCGCACCGAACCGTTACCGTACCGCACCGAACCGTGCAGGAAGCTTACCGTACCGCACCGAACCGTGCAGGAAGCTTACCGTACTGCACCGAACCGTACAGGAAAGAATACAACCCACCCTCACCCTCCACCACCTTGCAGCCTCCAGCCACCAACCCCTCCGCCGCTCTGGCCACCCAGCCACTCCAGCCACCCACCCTCCAGCCACCCACGCCCGCCTCCAGCCACCCACCCAGCCCACCCAAAACCTCCAACCACCCACCCCTCCAGCCACCCACCCTCCAGCCACCAGCCTCCAGCCACCGACCCCTCCAGCCACCCTCCAGCCACCAGCCTCCAGCCACCCACCCCTCCACTCCAGCCACCCACCCTCCAGCCACCCCCTCCAGCCACCCACCCCTCCAGCCATCCAGCCACCAGCCTCCAACCACCCACCCCTCCAGCCACCCACCCTCCAGCCACCAGCCTCCAGCCACCGACCCCTCCAGCCACCCTCCAGCCACCAGCCTCCAGCCACCCACCCCTCCACTCCAGCCACCCACCCTCCAGCCACCCCCTCCAGCCACCCACCCCTCCAGCCATCCAGCCACCAGCCTCCAGCCACCCACCCCTCCAGCCACCCACCCCTCCATCCAGCCACCCACCCTCCAGCCACCTCCAGCCACCCAGCCACCCACCCTCCAGCCACCAGCCTCCAGCCACCCACCCTCGATGGGTGGCTGCAAAGGTGGCGGAGGCTGGTGGCTGGATGGTGGGTGGCTGGAGGGGTGGGTGGCTGGAGGGGTGGGTGGCCGGAGGCTGGTGGGTGGCTGGAGGGGTGGGTGGCTGGAGAGTCGACACCACGTTCGTCTACTTAAAGGGGCGAATTCACGCGCTACATTCTATTTCGCTTGTAATATAGCCCCTTTAATGTTCTCTTCACACTTCGTTCAGTCGGTACACTAATTTCGTGCTTCCATTTCATTTCATTCATTTTCATTACAAATTAGTACGCTCTTTCTCTTCGTTCAACCATTCACTCCCCTTAATAGTATTTTGGGAGCAAAGTGGGGCCCTTTTCCACTATTAATACATGGGGAAAAAGCGCACACGAAGCCCCTCAAAATTAGCCCATTAATAATATTGTATTACGGGCGCCCTTTAAAGTCAATGAATATATGCGCCCGTCCTAATATTATTCACTCATGCCGTCTTGATGCCCAGGTTTTGGATTCATCACCCAGTTCTTTCTAGCGGTTACAAATGATTTCCTCTTCCAAAATCCTGTCTCAAAGTTAAGGTTGTAGATAGAGAGTTCCTGTCCTCTTTTCCCCATTAAATGCGCCATATAAAAGTACTCATTATAAGCTTGCGCATGAATAGTGCTTTTATGTAGTAAACTACAATTAAAAGGGGTCTATAGGGAAGGTTCAATAAGGCTTGTGGCTCGTCAATCAATATCTTGTTACGGGCTAGTGACCCACAGTTTTAGTACCATTTCCAAGAGTCATTAACTATAGTATTTGGGGGTGTGAAGAGATTAGTTTTTTGAGGCTTTATAATGAGCCCCGTGAAGCATGAAAGCCGCAATAAAATTATGAACGAAACAAAAACCCCAATTAAAAGGACGAAATGAGGATGGTTTTTTTTCACTAAAAGCCCCATTGAACGAGATTATAATGTAATGGCTGAGAAGAAACCGCTATACTATAATATTCTTAGGGGCTTTTATAAAGATTTCCAAAAATCAAAAAAACCAAATGAAACCGTTCCTGCGTTTCATTCATTTCGTGATCTTATTTATTGCTCACGCTTTTAATAAGTCCACCAAAAGACGCGAAGTGAAAGATTGCCCCTTGAAAATACTGGAATTGGTTCAGTTCATCTTTCTCGCGGTCATGTGATGGATTATAATTCTATGTGATGTAACCGCCAGATAATAAGGAAGCATGAAGACGGCATCATGTCTAGGGTTTTTCTCTCATCCTTTGTTTCCGGGTGGCTGGAGGGGTGGGTGGCTGGAGGGGTGGGTGGCTGGAGGGTGGAGGGGTGGGTGGCTGGAGGGTGGAAGGGTGGGTGGCTGGAGGGGTGGAGCTGGAGGTGGCTGGAGGGTGGTGGCTGGAGGGCTGGCTGGAGGGGTGGGTGGCTGAGGGGTGGGTGGCTGGGGGTGTGGCTGGAGGGGTGGGGGCTGGAGGGGTGGGTGGCTGGAGGTGGGTGGCTGGAGGGGTGGGTGGCTGGAGGGTGGGTGGCTGGAGGGTGGTGGCTGGAGGGGTGGGTGGGGCTGGAGGGGTGGGTGGCTGGGTGGGTGGCTAGATGGGGGTGGTTGGTGGCTGGAGGGCTGGAGGGGTGGGTGGCTGCAGGGGTGGCTGGAGGGGTGGGTGGCTGGAGGGGTGGGTGGCTGGAGGGGTGGGTGGCTGGAGGCTGGTGGCTGGAGGGGGGTGGTTGGAGAGGTGGGTGGTGGCTGGAGGGGAGGTGGGTGGTTTGAGGGGTTGGTGGCTGGAGGCTGCAAGGTGGGTGGGTGGGTGGCTGGAGTGGTCGGGTGTGGGTGGCTGTGGAGGTTGGTGGCTGGAGGTTGGTGGCTGGGGCGGTGGCTGGAGGGTGGGTGGCTGGAGGCTAGAGGCCAGGTCAGGTGGCTGGAACCGCATTACCGTACCGAACCGGACCGTGCCGTGCAGTACCGAACCGGACCGTGCCGAAAGCCAGCAATACCATGCAATACATACCGCAGCATACCGCAGTAAAGCAATACCGTACCGTACCGATATTAAACAGCCATGGTTTTCGGGTTTGAGATTTATGTGAGTAGTAGGGTTAAGACTGAGTTGCTGTGCAGTCTTCAAGTCTGCAACCTCACGGTGCTCTGTGAAAAGCCGGTCTGGAATGGGGCCACGCAACCCTCAGCTGGGCGTGAGACACCGGATGCCGGGACCCCTGAAAGTCACGGAACCTGCCCGCAGATCTTGAGGAAACTTGCCTCTTAGGGTAGTTGCATGGTCCCTTAGTATGGGTCCTTAAAGGGGGTATACCTTCTATACCCCACATACCCTATACAAATTAAGGGCCCATACCTGAGAACCCCTTTAAAGGAGGTGAACCTACCCTCAACCCTAAACCCTAAACAGAGGCACCCCCCAAGTCCCAAACCGCGTTTGCTTGCACGCAAACAATGACCCGTGGCCCCCCCGAGGCATACGGAAGGGTCCGACAAGACCCTTCCGGCCAGACCCCTGAAGGCGGGGGGTTAGGGTTTAGGGTTTAGGGTTTAGGGTTTAGGGTTTAGGGTTTATGGGGGTTTGGGAGGGGGCAGGTCTTCACCTAATGATGTCTGAAGGGGTCTCGGCGTGCGCTTGGCCCTGGGCTTCGCTTGGCCTGAGCTCCCTTGGCCTCGGCCTGTGCCAGTACCGAAGTCCATCCCGAAGAAGCCCTAAACCCTCAACCCTTAACCCTAAACCCTAAACCCTAAACCCTAAACCCTAAACCCTCAACCCTCAACCCTTAACCCTAAACCCTAAACTCCAGAGCTACTGGAGCAAAGAGGACAGGAGCCTACAGCATGAAGCTGGGACCTGTGTGCTTGGCAGGAAGACTTCGGCATCTATATACAAGAGAGCCAAAAGGCCAAGAGGCTCTAACAGCCCACGCGGAGATCGCACGCGTCGGGCCGCTGCTGGGTTCTGAGTAACGACCCTAGGGTTTAGGGTTTAGGGTTTAGGGTTTAGGGTTTAGGGTTTTGTGCCAGCTTTCATATCGTTCCTACACGAAGAAACCGTAAATCCGCAAAAGCCGGTAGCTTTATAAAGCCTCAGGGTCTTGAACATGCACCAGTATCCGCTAATTCTTAATTCAGGCCTACACGTCGGCAGGAGCTTCTCTCTGACTTCATTATCTTACTCCAAATACTCCAAGACAACAAAGCCTGAAAGCATCCTAAGACCCTGTGCGCCCCAATACCCGTCTTGAATGCTCAGACCCCAAAAACTTCAGAGGCTCCGGGGCTTAGGGCGTCGGGGGGAGGGGGGGGGGTATAAGATGTTATGAGGTTGTAAGGACATAAGGTTCTAAGGTTACCCCAAACCCTAAACCCTAAACCCTAAACCCCAAACCCTAAACCCTAAACCCCTAGGGTGGGGGGGGGGGGGGGGGGTATAGAGCTATAAGGTTGTTGCAGCAGCTCGCGCAGGTCTCGCATGAGCCAGTCACAAGCTTCGCCCACAACGCTGGCGGGGCTCGCAAGCCATCCCTGGGCCTTCTACCTGAATTTGGGGTTTAGGGTTTGGGGTTTAGGGTTTAGGGGTTTCCAGTTTAGGGTTTTTTGGGGTTTTGGGATGAAGGGGATATGGGTTTGAGGGTTTAAGGCTTTCGGGTTGAGAGTAGAAGGTTCGGGGTTTCGATTCTCATGCTTGCGCGCAGGCAGGCAAGCAGGCAAGGGGTTTAAGGGTTAAGGGTAAAAAGCGTTTTTTCGGGTCTAAAGTGGTTGAGTTAAGGTTGCTTGGGCTGCTGACCGTGTCCTTGATACACTTCTCGCCCATTAGCGATATCGGCACGAGCTTTGCCAACCCGAAACCTAAACCTTCGAGTCTTCACCCTGAAGCTGCCACAGCTGACATGCCTTAGTATCGAACTCCCAAGCCCTCTTCAGGCAGAGGGTTTTGGTTCGGAAGACCTGCACGGCGCGGACCGCGCCGAGGTTGCGTCTCTCATGCAACCTGCGGGGCAGCGGGTGGCTACTTAGAGGTTCATGGTAGGGCACCTAACGCGCTTGCTACGTGGCTTATAAGTACATTTTGGAATTCAGGATCCATCACATATAGGGTTTACCCGAAGGCTCCAATGTAGTTCCTGTTTGGTTGATTATAGGGGGTTCTAGTATACTACGCCAGAAGGTGCTACATTAGCCGCCTTTCGGTAGGGTTGGGCGATGCTTTTGGACAGGGAACGAGGTGCTGCAAGACTTTGACCGGGATTCAGCTTGGTAACTATAGAGTTCCTAAGGGGGAGGGGGGTTCAAGGAGGGGTATGTCACCCAAGGCCCCCCCAGTACTCCCCACTACTCCCTAAGGCTCCCAAAGCTTCCCTAAAAATTCCCTAAATACCTAGCCCCCATGAAGCCCCTCCCTTAAGAACCCCTATAACTAGACGCCTTCTCACAGCCTGCTGTGCCCTTAAAACCCCGATTCGCGGACACCATCCCTGAAAGAAAGAAACACCAACCTAGATGCTGAGTACCCTGGGCCATAACAGGCTCACCTTTCAATTAAGGTAGGATTATATACCTCAACCCTAAACCCTAAACCCTGAACCCTGAACCCTGAACCCTGAACCCGAAACCCAAAACCCTATCCCCAAAAGGCTATCATGGTTACATCCTCAGCTAGTAAGCCGACTGATGAGAGCTGGAGGGATGCTGCCAGGACACTCAGTTGGAGCCCAGGGTGTTCTCCGCGCTGTAGATGATGTACAAGAACCTGCAGGATGTGAAGAGGGTTTGGGCTCAAGCATTTTTTAGGGTTTGGGGCTTAGGTTTAGGGATCTTGCCTAAAACCATCCTGCCGCCCTTCACATTGAAGCACTGATCTGTGAGCTGCGAAACCCCAAAACCCCAAAACGCCAAAACCCCCAAACCCTCCAACCCCCCGAACCCGAAACCGCCAAACCCTAAACCCTGAACCTTAAACCCTAAACCCTAAACCCTAAACCCCTGAGGCCGTGGCCCATCTTCTGACCGGCTGCTGTCGTAGAGCTCGGACATCACAGCACCTGTCTTCACCTCTGGGAGCTCTCATGCCAAGATCCCAAGCAGCAACCGAGGTTGCTCAAGGACCCTGGAGCCGATAGCAAATTGGGCTTAGGGTTTAGGGTTTAGGGTTTGGGGTTTAGGGTTTAAGGTTTAGGTGCATCTTCTTGAAAGGCCCCCCTCCCCCCCATGTAAACTCGTCTTCACGGCCGATTGGAAACCTTAAACGCAGGCAGGCCACTTGCTTCTTGGTCTTGTCCTTCCGGGTGAAGAGATAGATGACCTGTCAAAAAGCTCACGAGCAACCACTCCCACAAAGCCCAGAAGCCCACGGCAGGCAGTGCTGGATTTGGGGGCTGCCAAGTCTTATAAATATTTAGGGCCATGGCCCTGTACCTGAAACTCTGTACCACGCCGATCTCTCTCTCTCTCTCTCTCCAGGGGTTGCCCAACTACAAGACGCATTCTTCAACTCAGGATGCTGTGCTTCCGGTGTGGTGTCGGGAGTTTGCGACTCAGCAACGCAGGGTCTGGGGTTGACAGGGTTTTGGGTGTGTTGAGGGTCTTGGGATTCATGGTTGTGCTTTGCCGAGGCCTGTGCCTTTGTCCCTGCTGCAGGTAATCTCACGGCTCAGAAGCATCTCAGGAGAATAACCTCGAACTTTCGTTTTACGGCCTAGAATTTAGGATAAGGCTCTCATTGACCTACTCATGGCCAGCGAAAATCGACGAAGTACTGTTGAAGGACCTCTGAGACGCTGAGCCCTAAACCCTAAACATCCCTAAACCCTAAACCCTAAACCTTATACCCTCAACCGCAAATTGCTACCGTGCGAGTATTTCGGGACAAAGGAAAAGGGACCTGGGCAATTGCCACTTGCCGAGTCCCCCCTCATCCGTCTCGCTTGGGGGTTTTGGATTTATAGTGCTTATAGGGTTTACAGGGTTGCTAGGATTTAAGTAGAATTCACTAACTGTTCCGCCCTCTCTGTGACAAACGCGTGGGCACCCGGTGAATGGCACCCAAAACTCCAAACACCTTAGACCCTACGCAAGCATACCCTTTGCAGATATTTCAAGAGCAATTGTCAGCCACCCCCCTAAACCTCCTAGTTTGACATCGGAGACGCAAACGTTCAGCATCCGGGCTCAGGCGTTTGGCCGTAAGGTTTTGTTTAGGAGTTTAGGGTTTAGAGTTGGGGTTTAGGGTTTAGGGTTCAGGGTTTAGGGTCTGGGTTTGGGGTTTAGGGTTTAGGGTTCAGAGAAGCCCTGAAGCAGCCGACTGTGCCTGGTCTGCTGCGAGGCCTTTACCGGAAGAGGCCTGTTGGATGTGCCTGGGGCCAGTGGCGGAGGTTGAGGGCCTTTAAGGTTCACAACCTATGAAGATCATTGCAGTTGTTATTAAGTATTAAGATGAGTAGAACTCGAAAATAATTAAGCAAATTCTCGCATTTGTCATAGGTGTTAAAATAAACGTAACTCGTAAATCTAATCCCGCAAGCCCTAAACGCCTTGGACTCAAGGCCAGAGATCGTGCTCACTATGCAGCTTCCATATCAGTCGGTTTCGTAGTTATCGCAAAACCTATTGAAACCAGAGGTTCAAAAAGCGTCCACGAGGTCGTGGCCGAGGAGCACAGTGAGTGGTGCGACCATGCGAGTGTAGAAACGACTGCGTGCCACCACTTATGTACCCAAGGACCGATAATAATCCTTATTGCAAGGACCCCCAAAAGAGTACCTCTACTTGTCGGAAACACCCATGCGAGCTTTGGGGGCTGAGAGCAAGGGTCTTCCGCAGACTGAGGTTGAGGATCCAAGGTTTGACGTGCCATTCGACAAGCTGCTTGTGGACGATGTACTTGAACTCGCCGCCTCAAAATGGGTGGTTGTCAAAAAAAATGCTTCCCTTTTTGGATCCCTATTATAATACGGCACCTAATATTTAGGGCACCCCAAAAGGGAGCATCTTTTTGACAACCACCCAAATGTCACAGCCACCAAGGCAACCACAAGCAATGCGCACGTGTGCTTTGCTCACAGCTAACCTGCATGCAACCTGCGCATCCGCGCCTCTTCCGTACCCACCTAATGATCCTCTGAGAGGCTCTGGACTTTCAACTCTCGTTCAGGAGGGGGCTTGAGTTTGCCCGGACCCAATCCCCGGATGCCCCCTGTATCATGAGCCGCTGTAGGGCTAAAGCTGTACCAGATTTACCTGAGGAAGAAAGCTCGCTTGCGCCACGGCCGAAAGTGCAGATTTCTGCGCATTCCACCTTTGCTTAACAACGGACTGGGGGCAACGCGCGCCCGAAACCCCAAATCCCCCAAACCCAAACCTCGAACCTGTGGCCTAGGGCAGAGAGCCGAACCCAAATGCAGCAAAGGCACAAAGCATGGACGCAGGAACCAAGAACTTTCTCCTAAGTGGATCTCCCAACCCAAACTCTCTGAACTGGATCAGGGCTTAAGGTAGTTGATTCTATCTACGGCTGCGGGTGCCGGAAGAAAACAAGTAAAACTGGCATCGTCACTATAGTTGCCATACTTTTATTCCCAACTGCAGCTACGCATGAAACTCCAGGCAAACCCATGTAGCCGCAAAGTAGCCAAGTTGCCGAGCTTGAGTCTCAAGCTTTGGGGCAGGCGCGGCCCCTCCAAACCCTAAACCCTAAACCCTAAACCCAAAGCCCCCAAAAACTGGAGCCTCCGCGGAACCGCCGAATCGCCCGAGGCCTGCAACAAACTCCTCGACTCCAGCCCAAATCATAGAAACCATGGAAAAACATCACGTCAATGTATACAGGATCAGAACACACTTCTGCAAGCATGCCTTTGACAGGTAAAGGAATCAACCAAAAGCCCGATAGACGCCAAACTCCTTAAACACAAAAATCCCGAACCCTCATCAGGCCCTAGAGCGAAGGATCATAGTAAAATTATGGTACTCATAATAACCGAGCCCTCATCATGCCCTAAAGCGAAGAATCATAGTAAAATAACAGCAAGAACTCTTGTTAGGGCCCTAAAGCAAAGAGTTAAAAGCTGGCTGTTGGGATGTTCCCCCTTATACTAACAGTCCTTAGTAGCAGGGATTATAATAGGAGGTACTATATTCCCGATTAAGGCCTAACCCTAAACCCTAAACCCTAAACTGGGGAAACGTCCCAAGCTGGCGGAACTATGACGAAGGCAAAGCATCTTCTCGATCTCTGGCAGCTCAGTCGAAGGAGCCTTCTCCTGGGCTGGAAACCCCACTCTTTGCTATCCCTAAACGCTGCAACCCTTCAACCCTTAAAACCCTTATACCCTTAAACCCTTACACCCCTAAACCCTTACACCCTTACACCCTTAAACCCTTAAACCCTAAACACTAGTTGTTGATTCCTCGGGGGCAAGGTGCTTTACATAGAGTTAGGGATTTTGGGATGGGGTCCCTGATCGGTATCTTTGCTTTGAAAAAACAGCGGGATTCCTGGCAGGAATATTCCAGAAAGCCGCTCGACTATAGAACAGCCACCAATTTCAACTCCGATCTCCCGACGGCCAAAAGACTATGCAAGAGTCGCAGGGAGCACCTTAGTTACCCGTACATAGGCCCTCCATAACCCTAAACTCCTCTCTGCCTGAAGGCTCCAGGGCAGTTTCCATTCTGCAGCTACAGGGGGTTCTAGTATACTACACCAAAAAGGTACTATGTTACGGGTAGGAGCCTATTGGCGAACCAAACCACTCTCTCAACCCTTAACCCTGAACCCTAAACCCTTACCCTAAACCCTAAACCCTAAACCCTAAACCCTAAATCCTAAACTCTAAACCCTAAACCCTTTTATATGAGCCCAGACCCCCCATGCGTTCAAGCCCAAGACACGCAAATCACAGGCACACGATCTGGGTACTTCGCCAGGATCCGGGACGCCTTGTGTTCAACCGTAGGAGGTTTACGGTTTATAGGGTTTATAGGGCTTATAGGGTTTATGGGGTTTATAGGGTTTACAGGGTTTATAGTTTATAGGGTTTATAGGGTTTATAGGGTTTATGGGGTTTATAGGGTTTATAGGGTTTATAGGGTTGATAGGGTTGATAGGGTTGATAGGGTTGATAGGGTTGATAGGGTGTTTTGTGCCATCCGATGATGTAGGGCTTAGAGTTTGAGGTTGAGGGTTTAGGAATGGAGGGCAGTTGGGCACAACAGCAACCCCTCTCTCCTTAACCCACCTGACTGCAAGCCAAGGTGAGACCCGACAGTTGAGCTGCAAGGCTCTCTGATCTCGGTACTTTGCTCGGGTGCTTTGGCACGAAGCGTCAAAGCATTCGAGCGCAAGACTCACCGAACCCTACCTCCCTCATGCGTAGGTGCCCTGGAAACCCGTGCAACAGGCTGCGCCCTAAACCCTAAACCCTAAACCCTAAACCCTAAACCCTAAACCCCCTAAAATCAGAAGGCCTCCGCTGCCCTCTTTTCGAACGGGATCGACTCCTGAAGCGGGGCGTAGGCGACGTCCGCCATGGTGGATGAAACCTTCGAGGTGCTTGAAGCTTGATTTAGGGTTTAGGGTTTAGGGTTTAGGGTTTAGGGTTTAGGGTTTAGGGTTTAGGGTTCTGTAGGGTTTAGGGGTTATCGACTCTCACGCTAGAACAAGCAGGCAAGGATTTAGGGTTTAGGGTTTGGGATTTCGGGTATCAGGTATCAGGTTTAGGTGACCTTATCCGTGTCCCCTTAAACCACAAGGCTGTGTGCCGAAGAAACGCAAAGAAGCCGTACCACAGGCTTGCGTATTGCGCGCCCTTCATAGAGGCCACGTCGGTTTCAAGGGTGCTGTTACTTCCGGGAAGGGCGAGCTCACCAAGAATCCCTTCTTGCAGAGGTCGGATCTTAGCACTTAGACTATTAATTGCTTAAGAACCCCGAAAAAACAAACAATGTTCTTCCTTATTAAGGGTAATATAGGGATTATTATCTTTGTATTCTTTTGGGGCTCTTAAGCAAATAGTAGCAGAACTGCAACAAACTGAGGCTGAGGGGCGCAATCCAACAGCAAAAGCCTCCCTGCACGTCGCTTCTGCTCGGCTGTTGATGGCCCACCCCCAGCAGCACTGGAGCCCAGAGGCAGAGATGGCGGAGGGTTGGACAAAGTTTAGGGTTTATTTCGCTCCCGCATAGCTGGCCGAACCGCAGGCAGGGTTACGTTGAAATAGTTTAGGGTTTAGGGTTTAGGGTTAAAGCATCACAATCTGGAACGGCCTTTTCTTCCATTTGCGATCCCCCCCCTGAACCTAAATCCCAAAGCACTAAAGGGCATAGAACGCAAGGGACGCCCGAAGCTCCAAGGCGACTCTGGCTTAGGACTCAGGTTGCAATTTCTAACCTGTGTAATCAGCTTTCGTCCGGGAATGTCGAATCTGGGCTTTGGACTCCCAGGTCCACGGGCTTAAGAGGCCCAAAAGCTGTCCATGCTTGGAGGTTGATGGTACTTAGTAGCCCACTTATAGCTACACTTATAAGCCAATTCTAACCAAATCAGGGCACTTAAGAAGGGGCCTATAAGTGGGTTATAAGTACAGTTACAAATCGGGTTATCAGTACCATGAACCTCCAAGTGCACACGCACGCCCGACACCCACCTTCTGCACAATGAGCGTCTGCACCGAGTTGTGAGAAACCCTTGGGGACAGTCGGCGGATGCATTCCCTCCCCTCGACCCAGAATACACACGCCGCGCTACCAAGCTCTCAAACGGGGTTGCCTCAAATGGGTAGCCATCCAAAACCCCCAACACCCTGACAAAACCCTAACAAAAACCTAAAAACACTACAGACCCTATAAACCCTAAATCCTACCCCTAAACAAGGGCTGGCGAACTGTGGTTTCGGCATCTCTTCTCCTGCTTGGGTTTCGGAAGACTCTGCGACCGCCATATTTAGGATCAGCAATCTAAGCCACTCTACTGCTGGATCCAGGAGGAACCTGGGCATAAAAAGGGTGCCGGAATAAGGGCCTACTCTCGGTCCTAGACTTGAAGCTTCTTGGGTAGGTGTAAGTAGGGTTCCAAGTACCCGAAATGAGGTTATAACCAGTTATAGTTATAGTTATAATTAGAGATATAGTTATAGTTATAGTTCTAGTTGTAGGTATAGTTATAGTTATAGTTATATTTCCCCCCCCCCACCTATTACTACCGATAAATCTCCTAGTACCTGAAGGATCTCCAATGTAGTTCCTTTTGTGGGTTAGCTATAGGGGAAGGGGGAAGTTAGGGTATACTACACCAAAAAAAGGTACCACAGTAGTAGCCTCTTAGGTCTGTAAGCCTATACTACTATTTGCTTAAGAACCCCCAAAAATTGAGAAAGAATATTCGGGCTCTTCAGCGAACAGTTGTTTAGCGAACAGTTGTTTGAGGGAACCTTTAAACCCTGAACTCTAAACCCTAAACCCTAAACTCCAAACCCTACACCCTACACCCTAAACCCTAAACCCCCAAACCCTAAACCCTAAACCCTAACCCGAAGTACAACCTCTCAGACTGAGGTGTTGGCATGGCCTTATCCTTCCATGCGAGCCTCGGAGTGCGCGCCAGTCTCGGGGACGAGGCTTTGGATTGCTCGTGAAGCTTCGTTTTTTGAGGGGGGAGGAGAAGGGTAGGGTTTAGGTTTGGGGGGGGGGGCGGAGGGGCAGGGATTAGTTTTGGGGGGGAGGGGGGGAAGGTTCCAGGCTGAGCTGAGAAGGCTTGAGCTCACAGATGTCTGTGATGTCTGGCTCACGGGCTCAAGCCGTTTCGAAGCTCAAATCTGAGGTCGCCGCAAGACTTCCAAAGCCTGGCGCTAACGGGGTGTACTGGGAGGTTCATGGTACTTTTAACCCAACTGTAACTGTACTTATAACCCACTTATAAGCCCTTCTGAAGTGTGCCCTGATGTGGTGCCAATTGAGTTATAAGTACAGCTACTCTGGGGTTGTCAAGTACCATGAACCTCCAAATAGAGTTCCAGGAACCGATGGCTGAAGAGTCAGCTCCTACTGTATCCGTCTTCATCGCGTCTAGGATCGGAGAATGCCGGATGGATCCCCGGTCTTTGATGGACCTCGCGCACAGAGTCTCCACGTCCCTAATTAAACCCTTTTTGGAACCCTACACCTCAATTAAGCCCTAAACCCTAAACCCTAAACCCTAAACCCTAAACCCTAAACCCTAAACCCTGTCCAGCAACTATGAGCCTGAGCCCCCCCAAAGCCCGATACCAAAGCCCTCAATCTCTTTGCGGGACCAAGTGAACCCTACAAGGATTTATGGCTCACACACCTTAACAGGGATTATAGTATCTTATGGTTCACATACCTGTCTTAGGGATTACAGCAGTATATGGTTCACAACACACCTTAGCAGGGATTCTGGTAGTGACCAGGGTATACGCCCCCCCCCCCCCCCCCCCAATGGTTCTTGAGGTGTTCGGGCTCGCGCGCCCGGTCTACCGAGGTGGGATCGCTCCGCCGCAAGTCCATCCTCGGCGGGAGGGTTTAGGGTTCAGGGTTCAGGGTTCAGGGTTCCCTGAACTGTAGGGATGGCTCGGCAAGGGGAGCCTCGTTGTGTTTTTAATTCACGCGAGACTCCGGGACACACTGGGTGGAACTGGAGAGCAAGTAGTTCTTTCACATCTAAACCCCTGTACCTACAACTACCCATCGGTTTCGGGATGTTTTAGGGCTTTGGGGTTTGCACCCCCAAACCCTTCCAAACCCGAAATCCTGAACCGTGAACCATACCTACCTACCCATGATGACCTCAGGGCTCAGGGCAACATCGTGCAAAGCATGTGCGGTCTCCAGTTTTTTCAGCGCAGGCGCAGCTCAGGAGTGATCTCCTTGCTATCTTGTTTCCCCTCCCCTTGATATGAGCCTCTAGAAACATGGCCCTAATGGTGTTGTGTGCTACGATGTGTATATACATATACATATGTTGATAGAGGGGATCGATCGATAGTTTATAAGGAAGAGCAGCGACTGAGTGTAAGGTCCACAGCGAAAGCGACAGTCGTCCATGAGAGGAAACAAGATCCAGGATGCACGCGAGGGACGCTCGAACACAAGCATATGTTCTAATATGGCATATTTTAGGATGTTTCCCCTAATACTAACAGTCCGTAATAGGCATTATAATAAGGGCCAATGACAGAACAACATGCACGTAACCATTATACACGTAGCAGACAAGTATATATGGATAGAATCCCATTTCGTCTCAACTTGATGCAGCGATCAGCAAGTCGCGCACATAGCCTGCCAGAAGGCCGGAAAAAAAAAAAAAAAAAAAAAAAAAAAAAAAAAAAAACAAACACACACACACACACACACACGAGGTTTCGGAAGTCGGTGGGGTTTGTCAGGGAACCGACCGAGGGACACAAAAACTACACCATTCTCCTACCCTTTTGGAGAACGAAGGGTTTTGTGTGCCATGGTCCATGCCGACTATACACCACGAGGAATTCGACCAAAAACACAAGAGGGGGGATTAAACGGGCACAAGGGCCCGAAAGAACTGGCCAACGGATGCCTCCAAGTAACCAACGAGAAAGGCCCGACCCAGGGCTTCGACATATTTATACCCCAATATAACCATAATGGGAGTATTTAATATAGGGGGTAGGGGGGGGAGGGGTTTCATGCTTGGGGGAGGGGATTGGACCTATGAAGAATTATGCCAGACTCTCGTCAAGAGATAAGCAGATAGAGATATAGGATATTGGATATGGATGGGTGCCCGTTTATGCCCCTTAAAAGGAACCCCGCCAACAAGCTAGTTTTGTGCTTCTCCAAGCCCAAGACAACGCCCAGTACCGACCACGAGCCTCCCAGCTCCAACTTTCCTGAGGTAGCCAGGACAGGGTTTATGGGTGAGTTTAGGGTTTAGGTTTAGGGTTAGGGTTGGTCGGGTTTAGGGTTTAGAGTTGAAGAAGGTTTTTTTTCTGCCACCTGCACTGCAAGTGCCAGACCTGGAGCAGACTGACAAGGGTTTGGGGTTTAGGGTTTGTAGGATTTAAGTAGGGCTTTCAGAGGAGCTCCAGTATCCTAAGAAAGACGAGGCCCAGGTTGCTGTTCTTCTGCTGAGCTATGTAAAAGCCATATGCCGCGCTTTTTGGCACCGAGCGGCTCACTTCCACCCATCTCCTCTCTCATGCACAGAGGGCTTTTACAAGGTTGTCTCGGATTTGGAGTCTGGGATATGGCGGACTCCACTGGCCAACCGCGGGGGGGGGGGGGGGGGGGGGGCATGTGACGGTTTGAAGCGTGGGGCTTGCGCAGAAGGCTTACTTGGGCCGTACATCTTTGGTGGCGCAGACTATGAGAGGGCTTAAAGCACACAACCCTAAGTACCCCTAGCACCCCAGAGATCCTCGCAAAAATTGCTCGTCGCGTCACTCGTGCACGAGATACCCATGATACCTTATCTACGACAGGAGGCCGGCTTGAAAGCCCATGACTCTCACTTAGGCATTGAGGGTTTAGGGTTTAGGGTATCTGCCAAATAGAACCAAAGACCCTAAACCCCACACCCAAGACCGTAGACCCGACAAACCCCAACTCCAATGAACGCCAAGCTTGGAGACTGTTACCCCCAGGCAAGCCAAGTCCTCGCATCATCGAGAAGCTGCCGGACTCTTTCAGCACCCTCGCCGTTTGCAAGTCAAACTCGATTCGGGGGGTATAGGGGCCGTAGTGCGGTTGGCGCGCTGAGGCTTACCGTCTAGGGTCCGACTGCGTTCCTTCTAGGCTTTAGGCGTGAGGGCATCTGTGCGTCCCGGCTTGCTCGAAACCCTAAACCTTCGAATCGAAGAGGCGCGCATTAATTAAGCTATAGAGTGCTCACCGGCTTTAGTTGCCTTAGGTTTCAGGGCTTGGTTTAACCGCTCTGAACCACATTAGTGCGGGCTTTTGGGGCTTCATCTCAGCTTCTTTGTTGCTGCGAACATAGCTGGACGAACCACTGAGCAGGGGCTGACAGGATATCTGCAGCAACAGCTCACCACAAGAGGCGATGACATACGAGACAGGTCATGTCGTTACCACCAAGGCTGGCATGAAGAAACTACAGTACGGCCTCCCCCCAAAAGTAGATAGGGTCTTAGGGTTGGAGGGTATAGGGTTCTCCTCATGTGCTTCGCTTGGGGGTTGCTCTAAGGGCCCACCTTCAGGCAGCATGTAGAAAAGGAATTCTGGCTGGCACAGAACTTGTCGGCTATAAGCACCCCCTCCCTTCATGTCCGGGGCTGCCCGATCCAAAACTCCAAAACCTTAGGGTTTAGGGTTTAGGGTTTAGGGTTTGCACCCTCAACCCTCCACCCAAAAAAACACCTCCTACCCCACCCCAAAACCCTGAACCCCGAGAAGTGGGGCTTCCTTTCTAGCATTCCCAAAAGGAGGATTTTGGATATGCACAAAACAACACCTGAACTTAAAGCCTCTTTACCCAAAACCCATATGCTCGCTCCTCTAAACAAATGGTCCTTTGGGTTCCTTGATATTAAGGCGGCCCCAATTATCTCAGGAGCTGAAAAATCCTAGCCCAAAAAGGTTAACCTTTCATATATTACATATAAGGTTTTGTATGGCCACAAAGGTTAACGGTTCCCTACCCAGTCCCTAAGTTCTTTAGGGTGCTTAGAGAACTGACCATATCAACCTTGAAAAACCCTAAACCGCCTAAGCCCTAAGCCCTAAACCCTAAACCCTGGCCACCCACCTTTGGAGGCACCTCGGCGCAGTGGTGGCCGCGCCCGTGGTCGTACCTTGGTGGGGGGGGTGCATGGGGGGGGGGGGGGGGGGGGGGGGGGGGGGGGGTGGGTTTTAGGGTCTATAGGGTTTAGGGTTTAGGGTTTCCGACTTTTTAAAAAGGGACTGAAAGCTCTTACAACCTAGAAAGTTCAGAGTAAAAAAAAAAAAAAATATATATATATATATATATATATGCAAGTATGTTCCAAACAATATCATACCCATCTTAGGACTCTTACTTGTAATTGTAAGGGTGTTTGGACCCCCAACGACCCATGCAAGCTTTGTAGGCCTAAGGGTGATCCATCCTATACCCCAGACCCTTTCTTGATGCATGGAGTGAGGAACGAGGGGTTTTGGCCAACCCTAACCCATATGCAAAGTTGTGAAAAATCGTTGCCGAAGACTGCAGTACCTCACGCGTAGCTGAGCACAGGAGCCGACACAGTCATCCGGGCATGGACTTGCTTGCCGCACGCAGCAACGAAGAGCGGCAACACTACTATGACTGATGCAACCCCCAGAAGTCCTAATTACGAACTCTATAAGCCTCCTGGAGCATGTCTCGTCGGATTCGCCCTTCTAGAGCCTCCTAAATCCCCCCACCCCCCGCAGCTCCTCCGCACGGCTTCAGTCAGAGGACCTGCGTACACGCGTACCTTCATGTCTTCACCCGCCCGACCCCGGCCCTCTTGACCGCAGGGGTTCACGTGATGAGGAGATGAATAGCGGGCATCTGAACGTTCAGAACGTTCAGTGTACAACTCGTGGCCTAGACGCTGAGGCTCTACGGGTTCAGGGCATGCGCCCTTTTCGCCCTACACATCCTGTAAAAGGAATCCACATAATATACACACACAGAGACGCAGACAGACAGACAGACAGACAGACAGACAGACAGACAGACAGACAGACAGACAGACAGACAGACACACACAAACACAGAGACATTCGCGCGAAACATATCACCTCTGAAGCCAGCTCTCGGAACACTTTTGAAACACAAGAAAAGCTTATAGTTGTCCAGTAACCTGGAGGAATTAAAGGCTAACCTTTGGGTTTTATAGGGTCTTTAATATCCCCAAACAGGTTAAAGGTCACCTACTCTTCTACTACTGTGCAGCAGCCGCGCATGTTGGCCCGAGCTGCTTGTAACGGTATCCGTCCATACACAGGCACTGGCCGAGAGTGCTCAGCTTGCCCTCAGTAGAGATGGGGGTTTCCGAAAATAGGGGGTACCGTTTTTGGGGGTTCCTTTGGGGGGTCTATTAAGGGTACCCCTTTTTTCGTAAACCCCCCAAATGGAAGTGGCTCGCAACCCTTCTATGGTGTTCACTTGTGAAGTTCGGGGTGGACCGGTTCTGTCTGTAAACACCTGCGCCTAGAAGTCATCGGACCATGATGCTCAGCATAAGGCTGCTACCGAAGCTATGCCTTATCAATTCTCATCATGCTTCGGATCAACGTTTACCCGAAGAAAGGCCAACTTCTTGAGGGTAGTCGGGCTCCTGTACTCAACGGTTGCAAACAGACATCATGGGCTCCCGGTTATTTGAGGGGGGAACCTAGGGGGGGCCTATATAGAGGGGGGTAGCAGGAAAGCCCATGAAGATAGCTTCTCTGGAAGGTGCAACAAACCGAAGGTGTCAAGCCTCAACAGGCTAGTGGAGAAGTGCGAGTTTCCGAAAATAGGGGACCCCAATATAGGCCCCCAAAGAGTAGAACCCTAAACCCTGAACCCTAAGGTACCGCTAATATCGTAAATTCCCAAGTGTGCCGAGGCTCATAGGCAAACTTCGTCGCTCTGCCATTCCTCCATAAAGCAAATGCCGTCCCACTTTTGACTTTGGCCTATAAACTCTAGCTCTGAGCCCGCTTGGAGCAACAAGCCACATCAGTGGACATGTGGGGCCCATTCTAATTAGGGTTTCAGGTTTGGGGCACCTGCTATCTGTTCGACTACGTAATACAGGCCATCTTACTGAGGGACCATGGTCTAGGGAGCTGCCCACATGATGAAGGAACTTCGCACCTCACACGGTGAAGCCTGTAAGTTCTCAGTGAAGCCGTCAACCCCCACATTCCTAGATCTGGCACATGAATCGGGGGTTTGCGAAAACAGGGGACCCCGAGAATAGGCCCCAAATAGTAGGATGCTTTATCATAAGGACCCAAACCCTAAACCCCAAACCCCAAATCCTGAACCCTAAACCCTAAACCCCAATAAAGGCACCCCTAATATCGGAAACCCCCATATCGCAGGTAGCAGGCAAGCGGCTTGGACCGACCCCACGGAAGGACTTTGCATGTTGCGTTCGGCAGCTCACAAGACTGCCTGTCAGGGTCTTTCGTTTAGGGTTTAGGGTTTAGGGTCTCACTGGGCTCCAGCAATCAATTGCAAGGTTCAGGGTTCCTCTTGCTCGCTGTACGGGTTGCGGCGACGATGAGAAGCATGCGTGGTTACATGTGGCTTCTTCCGACTGTACTGATCAGCACATGCTGGCTTTGACCACAACGATTCCACGTAATTCTGCTGCGCAAATCAGGCACGTGTAGCTGAGTCGGACTGCAACCGTCCTCCCACCTCCCTACACCTCCCTGCGTTGCAGCAGCCAAAGCCCGAACGAACAACGCAAGAGGCGTCTGCCTGTCGAAAACATTGCAGAAACCGAAGGGGTTGCGCCATCTCTGGTTCATCTTCAGCCTGCACTCAGTCTCTTTTCGGTTGGATGATTGTGGCTTGTGGGCTATTGGCTGTTTATGGTCGCATGTTGGAGGACTTGCCTTCCAAGAGAAACGTGGGGTTGCTCGCAACACCAACATGCTACACACGGCACACCTCATAAGAGTGCTTCCACGGACACACGTCTCGAAAGTCCCACACGCCCCAATGCACTTGTGGCAACACTCCACCCAAAAATGCTGCCAGGGGCACTTGTCATACACGTCGTGTGCGTTGCACTTGTCGCGCCTTAAGTGGCCCAGTGCCAATCATTGCGACTAAATCTGGCACTGTCGTTGAAGCTCGTGTTCCAACAAGCTTTCTTGTTCTGAGAGATCCTTTGCGCAGAAGACAGCCTGCGGCTACATCGGAGGTTCCCGAGGTCTTCATATCGGGTTTGGGGTTCGGGTTCTGATTATCTAGCGTCATGGCCCCGTACATAAGCTTGCAACATGGGAAGGGTAGGGTGGGGACCCACCCACGTCTCTCCTTTTCAGAGGAAAGCCTTGAAACTACCAACAACCCGCTTCACTACAGGATATTCTCGCTGAAAATGACTTTGCAATGGGGCCGGGGGGGTGCGAGGGCAACCCAACACCCGTTTTAATTCTAAGGCAAGAGGTCGGTCAGACGGTCAGCTTGATCGCGCTTACCCTATGCCACTTTCCTTCATCTGGACTCCTTCAACAACCCTAAACCTGATCCACTATTCCCGGAGCCTATACCCCCTATCCCCTCATCCTCTGCACTTGAAGCCCATAAACCCCTGAAACACATAAAGCCTCAACCCTAACCCCCCCGAAACCCCAAAGTAACCCCCCAAAACCCCCCCAACCTTCAGCAGCCCAAGTGGCGGGAGCTGCAACCGCGTGCACAGGGCCTGGGCTGAGCGCCAGCGGAGGCGCCACCAGATGTCGAAGTCTTCAAATCCTCGGCTCGTGGGAAGATGGTGTAAACCCTAAGCCCTACCTAAGCCCATAAGCCCGAAGCCCTAAGCCCTAAGCCCTAAGCCCTAAGCCTCAAGCCCTAAGCCCTAAACCCTAACTCTAAGATGGTGTAGGCCGCAGTAACACCGGTAGTCACTCACTCACTCACTCCTGGGCTCATGGCCCCATGGTTTAGGGTTTAGGGTTTCATGGCCCTTGTTCGCACTTGTAAGGTTTTGCAAGGGTGGATGCGGGTTTGTAAGGGTCGAGGGCTGACGAGGGTTTAGGGTAAGCTTAGGATGTTCGGGACGTTTGGGGGTTTTGAGATTACTGGCGTGTGTTGAAACTGCCCTGCTTATAGGGTTCTTAAGGGAGGGGGGGGGGGGATTCAGAGGGGGTATGTAACCCAAGGTTCCCGAATACTCCCCACTATACTCCCTAAGTCCCTAAGATTCGTTAGGTACCGGCCCCCTATGAACCCCCCCCCCCTTAAGAACCCTAAGCATTCTTGAGGAGAGAGCCAGCATCCTCACCGTCAACCTCGACCCTGAAAACAGGAGCGAACACGGTAGAACCCGCAACCGACTCAAAAGCAGGGAACACCGCAGCCCAAGTGACGGATGACCAACACTCCCTCCATATCCCCGAGTAGTTATACTAGACCCGGGAGTAGCCTAGGAATAGCAAGGGTACCCTTTTTGGCTTTGAGGGGTTTTCTACCGTAACCCCAACCCTAAAAAAAAGAAAAAATGGCCCACCCCCGGTCCTAGTATAGTAGAAAAGACTGCCCAGAATACCCTGATGAATCCGCAAGCCCCTTCTGAAACGACCAGAAAACTTTGCGCACCCTGAACAAGAGTAGCATGGCCCGAAGAATCGACGAGGGGCGAAGCCAGCCAGCACTCTCGGCACCTGGGCAGACTTTGAACTCTTTTCGAGCCAGGCTCTGTGCCCTGAACCCTGAACCCGAAATTCAAGCACCTTTTTTGAAACCTGAGAGCCAAAACCCTACATGTAAAACCCAAAGCCTAAACCCTAAGCTGCTGCTGCTGAGCCCTAAGTCAGAAGCCTCATTTCGGCAGCAATCGCTGAGGATGATCAACTGGAAGGTTCATGGGTTGCTATAGCTAGGCATGCACATGGGGTGGCTGCAGTTCAACCTGGTTTTCATCGCCCATCTTGGGGTGAATCTGGAACACCACTTCTCCATCTACCCATGAACATTGAAGTCCATGAATTCCTGCAACGCGTCGCCACGCAGCCTGCTTCCCATGTGGATACGTGGCGCGAGTGCGTTTAGGGTTCAGGGCAGGGTGTAGGGTGTAGGTGTGCAGGGCTGAGGCTACTGGGTTGAGTCCTGAGCCCCTCCAACACCACATGAGTCTTTGCTAAAGAAAAATGAGACTTATGGGCTTCAGTGAGGTTGTGAGTCGTGAGCTTGAGGGTTTTGGGTTGGGATGTTCCCCCTTAGACTAGCAGTCCTTAACAGGGATTATCGTACGCCCCCCATGATAATCCCTACTAAGGACTGTTAGTACAAGGGGGAACATCCCAAGTTTAGGGTTTAGGGGTTTAGGGTTTCCCAGATTCTCGGGGGTCGGGATGGTGTGCCTGCAGTGATGTTGGCAGCTCCCCGCGGGGAGAGGCTGAAATCGTCTAGTGGCGCGTACCTGGGCTGTAAGGTTGGGGGTTGGGATGTTCCCCCTTCTACTAACAGTACCACCTACTATAAAGGGGAACAGCCCAATTGGGGGGGGGGGGGGACATTGCAAGAGCTTTCGAGGCTCGAACCCCTCAAGGCGAAACAACTGTAACCCCCATGAACCCAAACCGTTTCAGACGACATGCAATGCAATACTTGGAGGTTCATGGTACTTAATCACCCAATCAGAACTGTACTTCTAACCCAAATAGAACCACATCAGGGCACGTAAGGGGCTTGTAAGTGGGTTAGAAGTACAGTTCTAACCCATGAACCTCCAAGTACCGGGGTGCAGCCCAGCAGCTTTGCATTCACCACTTTGAGATTCTCCAGCTCCTCTCTGGGCTCACCAGGGTCTATACTAGGGTTTAGGGTTTAGAGGTTAGAAGCCGCCCATCCTAACGGGCATATCCTTATCTTGGGCACTTCCAAACCCTGCCTTTTTCGTAGGGTAGCTAGACTTTATAACGGGTTATCCTTGTTCAGGGCACTGACAACCCTACTTGTAACCGCCCATGAACCTCCAAGTAGGGCTGTCTAATGCTCGCCACATTGTCTTCATGGCTCCTCGTGGGGAATTACGGTACGTGCTTTCTTTACCTAACTCCCCATTGTTAAAAAAATTTGGAACTTTTACTAGACCCAGGGGTAACCTAACTAGCAATGAAAAGGGGGGATTTATCAGCGAACCCCAACCCTAAAAAGAGGAAATACGAGCCTACTCCGGGTCCCAGTTTACGTTTTGAAACGTAAGGGTTCGTGTGGTCGCAGGGGCTGAAGAGGAGACCCGCCAGAATCCAACCTTCAGGCCTTAGAGCAGAGAACTGCCCATGTTGTCAGTGGATGTCAAACAAATGGGTTGGAAGCATTTGGGGCGTATGGGAATGTCTTGGAGGCATTTCGGGCGTACGGGGTTTCGGCCTTGATTTTCCGTGGTTTTGGCATCTGTTACACGTTCTGAAAGTTCTGGAATCTTAAGAAGTTCCAACAGTTCTACTAGTTGCAAAAAGGTCTAAAAGTTGTAAAAGTTCTAAAAGTTCTAACAGTTCTGAAAGTTCTAAAAGTTCTAAAAGTTCTAGAAGTTCTAGAAGTTCTAAAAGTTCTAAAAGTTCTAAAAGTTCTAGAAGATTCAGAAGTTCTAGAAGTTCGAAAAGTTCCAGAACCTCTAAAAGTTCTATAAGTTCTATAAGTTCTAAAAGTTCTAGAAGTTATAAACAGTCCTAGAAGTTCTAAAAGTTCTGCAAGTTTTAAAAGTTCCAGGTGTTCTACAGCATGTTCCTGGTGTTGCAACGTTTCCCGGCGACTTTAGAATTTGTAGAACTTTTAAAACTTTTAGAGCTTTTAAAACTTTTAGATTTTAGAACTTCTAGAACTTCTAGAACTTTTGGAATTTTCCCAAGAGTTGTAAACGTTCTAAGTGCTGTAAAGAACTTTAAAAGTTGCCAGAAAGTTCTTAAAGGTTGTAAGGTTCTAAAAGTTCTAAACGTTCTAAAAGTTTAGAAGGTTCAGAAGTTCTACAAGTTCTAGAAGTTCAAAAAGTCCTACAAGTTCTAAAAGATCTAAAAGTTTTACAAGTTCTAATGTGCAAAGCTGCGGTTTGCCCGCGCTCTTTTTCTGGAGGCATACAAAACATGCGCAGGCGCGATGTTTCCGGAGTTTGGACGTTCGCAAACATTGTTGTTTTCCTTCCTTTTTTAATAAACGACCACCCTCTGCGGTTTTCGCTGGGTTCCGGAATTTTGGAAGGGGGCGGGTTGCCCGTGCTCTTTGTCTGGAGGTGCGCAGGCGCGACCCTAAACCGTAAACCCCAAACCCTAAACCCTAGACCCTAGACCCTAGACTCTAGACCCTAGACCCTAAACCCTAAACCCTAACCCCTAAACCCTAAACCCTAAACCCTAGACCCTAGACCCTAGACCCGAGACCCTAAACCCTAAACCCTAACCCCTAAACCCTAAACCCCAAACCCTAAACTCTAAACCCTAAACCATAAACCCTAACCCTAAACCCTCAGCCCTAAACCCTAAACCCCAAACCCTAAATCCCAGACCCTAATTCCTAAACCCTATGCTGGACGGCTTGGGTGTGGGCAAACCGACCCTTTGGCGCGAAGTTCTACAAGGTAAAAAAAGTTCAAGAGGTTCTAAAAGTTCTAGAAGTTCTAAAAGTTCAAAGTTCAAAAAGTTCTAGAAGTTCTAGAAGTTCTAAAAGTTCTAAAAGTTCTGAAAGTTCTAAAAGTTCTAGAAGTTCTGAAAGTTCAAAAAGTTCAAAAAGTTCTAGAAGTTCTAAAAGTTCTAAACTTCCTGCGTGGACCAGCCGAAGCGCCGGGGTTTCGGTTTAGGCATTGGCGTAGAGGGGTGCGAGAGAGAAGCAAACCCCAACGAAAAACGAAACAAAACACAGGAATCACCCAAAAAATCCCACGCACCCGAAACGCATCCAAGACAATCCCACGCACCCGAAACGCAACTAGCGCAAACAAATAAGCCTGGGGTTTAGGGTTTAGGGTTTAGGGTCGCAGAAGCCGAAGAACCCCTTGACCTCGCAACGACAAAGAAGTTTATGTCATGTTGAACACCCTAAACCCTAAACCCGAAACCCTAAACACCAACACCCTCAACCCTAAATCCACTAAACCCATGCTTTCGAAATGCTAGGCATCCCTTGGTCCAACTCAAGACTCATGACCAGAAGCCCGAGGCCACGAACCAAAACTCTCCCTGTACAGCTTCTTGAACTCCGCCGAGAAAGGAATTTCCTTCCGCCTGAGTTGCAATGGGGCTTCAGCTGGGGCGCGGCAGTGAACAGAGCTCTACCCTAAACCCTAAACCCTAAACCCTAAACCCTAAACCCTAAACCCTAAACCCTAAACCCTAAACCCTAAACCCAGACGGTCTTGCTTTGTTTCGCTAGGGCCGGTCCGAAGTTCGAGTAGAAGCTGCATCGGAATTCGCAATCTTCAGCAGCACACTCCCTGCAACCCTAGACACTCAACCCTAAACCCCACACATCTGAAGTCATCGAACCGTGAACCCTATAACAGCCCCAACCAGGTCACCCCCCCCAAAACAAGCCTGAGACAAAATGATCCCCCAAAACCTACCCCAAACCCCAAACCCCAAACCGCAAACCCTAAACCCTAAACCCCTACACCGCTACACCCTACACCTAAACCCTAAACCCTAAACCCCAAACCCTAAACCCTAAACCCTAAACCCTAAACCTTAAACCCTACACCCCAAACCCTAAACCCTACAAACCCTGCCTCGACACATCCATGGCATGCTCCAGCTTCTTCAAGTGCTCCTCCAGGCCCTCGATGGCCTCGAAGGCCTGCATGGTTGAGGGTTTAGGGTTTAGGGTTTAGGGTTTAGGGTTTAGGGTTTAAGGTTTAGGGTTTAGCATGCAGACTGTGAAGGTTGGAACGCACTGTTTGGGGAATGTGTACTACTAGAAGCAGGACTTTCATGAGTAGTACTAGGGTTGACAATACGATTGATACCCAGAAGGCGACAAGCATGAAGAGAAAAGATGGTCATAATATTTATATAGAATGAGATGAATGATGACACGAACGTTAAACGTAATGGAAACACGTAATGAAAAACCATATTTAGCACATGACTTTTTTTAACATCATTGCAAAGCAACAATATCAATATTGTAAATAAACAGAACGTTCAGAAGATTAGTAGAGTGAACGAGGCTAATTACATTAAGCGTACTACTGCCACCATACGTATGCATAATATTCTTTGAAAATGTTTATTCTAGGAATGTATGAACTTATTAACAGACCTATACTCTCAACATATCAGTAACAACATATGTGTGTATGTATTTATATGTGTATATAATATTCTATACAACTGGTATGACTAAGGGGCTACTAACAGTTATGTCCTTTCAAAACAGTAGTCATTTTGGAACTTAGCTCGATGAACAGCATGACCGTATTCACACGATTAGCCATGTGATTCATGTTTATGGTATACTCTTTGTTCATGCTGATCATGCTCACAGTATAGAAAGAACAGTGAGATTTATTCTATTCTCCTATCCTCTTCATATTGTCGACCTATAGTACAGTCATACCAATTATACTAGCAACGTTGCCCATGCAAAGAAAATCTATCATATAGATGATCTGAATACGATTTCTACTCGTAACATTGACGAGGCACACTCAAAACCACAGCTGGCACCTGAGCTGAGGATGCACATAAGCACACGTTCGTTTAGCGTTTAGGGTTTAGGGTTTAGGTTTCGGGATTAGTGTTTAGGGTTTAGTCGCAGATCCTCCACATTTGTCCGATCTCGTGGCGGTAGATGCGGTCACACTAGCACTTCAATATCGCTATGACATAGTGTACTGGCCAGGTGGGAAGTCTTTACAGCCATGCCGGCTGTACGCTGTCGCATCGTGTGTGCTGACAGCCTGGCCAAAACAAAAGTCTGCATGCAAGGTCTGATGATGCTTGGGGAATGCGGCAGGATGCCCATGGGGCATAAGCACCACTTCGACCCCTATACACTTCACGAATGGCACGGCAGGCCGTGCTATGGTGTCTATGGTGTCTTGGGCATCATTGTGCCGACTCAGGGTAAGATGGGCTTTTGCTCCTTTTCCTGGGCTGCCAGCTCCACCAAGGCGGCAACAAAGCTGTCCTTGCCCTCGGCCGTGTCCAAGGACTTCGCCTTAATACATGGGGCGGAATAATTACTAACATTTTTCCCTTAAGAGACGTGGGGTGACTAGCAAAGTAGCATGTAGAAATGAAGCACAGAAATCAAGATTGCATTGAGCCACAGCATTGCATGAGCCGCACTTGCTGGCGACGCAGGAGGTGCAAGCCGCACCGTTGGCATCCGCAGCGCAACCCGAGATGCAGTTTTTGATTGTGCAGCTGATCTTCCTGCCGAAGCAGTTAGCACATCCTGCCGAGACTCCCTTGCCAGCGAGGCAGGTAGCAGCACAGCTTGCCTGGTTGCTGGCAGCGTAGCACTGGGTGCCGCATGTCTTCATCAAGGACTGGACTTCGAAGCATCCGCTGCGAGTAGAGGGCTCCGCCTCCAACTCTTCAGTCGAGTTTGCTGCCGGGCTGCTTGCACCGGCGAAGAGCTCCGCAAGCGCTTCGAGAGTGGAGGCATTGTCGGCGGTGTCTTCCATGGAGCGGGCACTGCTGCAAAGACCGCAGTGGGAACTGATGCAAGACGTGCATACAGGCTTCGTGAAGCCGGTTGTGCAAGAGCTCAGGCAAGAGTTGAAACCGCAGTTGAAGCCCCTACCGAGGCAAGTGGCGCATGACCAGCGCACGCCCTTCCCGACAAGGCAATTCGAAACACAGGTCTCCTTGCCGGCCCCTGGCACACCGATGCAGCCCGCACCACAGCTTTGCAAGAGCGGCTTGTTGTCAAACAAGCAGTGCCCACACACCTGGAAGATCAGAGCGTTGAAGAGCGCAACCTGAAAGGCGGACATTGCAAGGCTGCTGGTCAAAGGCACACGTGCTTCGCTTGGGCAAGAAATGGCTCGATTTTCACAGGCCTTGTCAGGAAACGACCGCCGCTGGAGTGGCTTACGAATCTAGAGTAAAGGCTCCATGTCACAAAATGAACCTTCACTGGTCTTTCAGGAAAGGACAGCCTGTTTTGCGGATCAGGGTTCAGGATTTACACGAATGTAAGACATGAGTAAAGAGGGTTTACACCCATGACAGCGGATGGGCCACTGACGCAAAAGTCATTGCATCGCACCCGAAGGGAGATTGCCCGATCTGGGCCCAGCACAAAGGAACCTGACACTGGAGCACCGCTAACTCATGCTGCGACAGCCTAAACCCCTTTCCCTAAACCCCAAACCCATACTCTGTTGAGCCAGAAACCCTTTTGCCCCAAACCCATACTATAAACTAACGCTAAACCCTAAACCCTAAACCCTAAACCAGAGCTGCGCAGCAGAGGCGTGGCCTCTTGGAGGATCTCCGCTGCGTAGACGAAGATGCTGTGGGGCTCAGTGGAGCAGGCGCCTTTGAGGAGTACAAGATGCTTTGGCGCACGTACTGTTTAGGGTTTAGGGTTTAGGGTTTTTGGTTTTTGCCACCCGCCCAGCGGTTTAGGGTTTAGGGTTTAGGGTTTTTTTGCCACCCGTACTGCCCTCGGCTTCGGGTCTAGTCTAGGGTTTATGAAGCCCTGAGCTATGCACCTCGATGCAAAGCACTGTGCACGATACCACTTTTCTGTGGCCTCATCTTGATCAGGATGAAGTTCCCGACGTGCTTGCGAGCAGTTGAAGGTTTCAAAATACCGGCAAAGTGCTTCACCCACCGGTGTACCTAGACGCCACAGTCTTCCACGGTAGGACGGAAGATACTGGGAGCATTTGCGAGAGATTCAAGTAGTGCACATAGCATGAACAATGATAAGCTGAACATGAGATTGCGCTTTTGACTACTAGCCCAATTGCAACCCTATGCCCAAAACCCAAAAACTTAAACCCTAAATCCGCAAAGCCCTTCCGTGCGCCTTCGAAGTCCCCACGAATGGCCGGCCGGTCGTTAAGGTATGCCAGGAAAATGAAAAAGAGGTCCTTGCTTTGGGGCATAGGGCTGTGGCTTAGGGTAGTTTTGTGGCACCAGCATGTCTAGAGTGTTTCGGGCTAAGGGTTTAGGGCCTAGGGCTACGGTGGCGTAGGGTTGTTTTAGGGTTTGCTGAGAGACTTATCGACCCTGGAGCTGCACCCACTAAAGCCAAATTCAAATCGCTAAGCCCTGAGTCTCAAAACCCCTGTAAACCCTAGGCCTGCTACGCCCCAAACCCCACGGACCCGAAAGGGGCTCCCTCAACCCTGTGTTGCTGGACTGAAGGCCGCGCCCTAAACCCCGAACCCTAAACCCCAAAAAACAAACCCTGGGCCCCAAACATTCCTAAAGAAGCCCAGAACCCAAATCCTAAGCCAGTGACGGCAAGAGGCGGTGATGATGGGGAACGTGGCCAGGTGCTGCACTGTTCGCAGTGCGGTAACGGCTGCCTTCATCGGGACCTCGGTTTCCCAAAGGTTTAGGGTTTAGGGTTTAGGGCTAGCATTCTGGGGCATTCTGTTTGCTGTGTTCATCGGGTGCTCCTGACTTGGCCATAGCTGTACCCTGAGCACAAGGATCTACCATGCTTTTGATCTAGCACAAAACTTTGGGGCACATAGGGGCAACTCCCTGCAAGAATCCGCCAAGGTGCGCTCTGGCAGTCTTTGCACGTCACCTTGGGAATGGCCCACCGAAGCCCTGAGGTGTCATTGAAGCAGTCGACGTGGATGGGTGCCTTCGCCATCCTTAAGATTCACGCAACAGAGTTAGGGCTTAGGGTTTAGGGTTTAGGGTTTTTCATGCTGCAACTAAGTTAGCCTTACTTTCGGGTCCTGGAGACACCTGAAGAAACCGCTGTAGCCCTACCAATGTGGTGATGGCACAGGGGTGGATTCTTGTACTTGCATGAGGGTCTGCCAGCATGTGGGAGTTTCCATCCTTGTGGCTGCCGCGCCAAAGGTGGATTTTCAATAGCTTATGGTCTCGAAGGATGCTACGCTGACCACGCTTTTACAAAACCCGCCTCTATGAAGATTCTTCTCTGGCAAGGATATAGAGGATCTGGAAAGCAAAAAAATCTCAAAAGCAAAACCACACTTGCCCGGAGAGCAGGTGTTATCAAGTGAATAGGAGGCAATGAGAAAGAGTAGGGCGTTGCAAAGTTCAAGCCCGGTCGCGAAGAGCCGATGTCGATGCCCACTGGGCCGGTATACAAACCCAGGCTGAAACTCCAGCCAGCGTAGATGTATGTGCCTGGCAGTCCCTAAACCCTAGGCAGGTGCTGAGTCTCCTTGAAGCCTACTTGGTACCTGTAGCCGAGCAACCAGACTCTAAGACCCTTTTTGCCGTTCGCGAGAATATTCCCTTTATGGTCCCTTCATAATTATACTATAATCACCCCCCCCCCCCCCCAAACCCCCGAAACCCTAAACCCCCCTTTTTTGGGGCTGGTTACTCTCATGTGGGGGGGGAAACCCGGCAGCAAGAGCGCTGTGGTTCGTATAGGGGCCTGAATGATTAGAACAGGGTTTTGGGGATTTTTATGGCATATTAAAGAAGGGACCATAACGAAAAGCCATTAGTGATTACTCCGACCCCTATATTAGGGTTTTTATGGTGTTAAACCCTACAGGGTTTTACTCGGCGCTATCTCTGGTATCCGAGTAGCCCATTAGGGTTTAGGGTTTGGGGATCAGGGCGTGTTTTTTTCAAGCGTGTCGGGGACTTCTGCTTTATTTCAGCATTGGGCTTCAGGTTAGATTCGCATACCACTCCTACTTTCATTCAGAAGCCTTCGGCGGAGTCAGCGTCGCCCGTCAGGCACACTCCAAAAGCCCCCAAACAAGGAAAACAAAATGAATTTAGGCCATTTTGGGTTTCGGCTTGAGGGTGTTTTTTCTAGACTCCGCTAAACCCTAAACCCTAAACCCTAAACCCTAAACCCTAAACCCCAAACCTAAACCCTAAACCTAAACCCTAAACCCTAAACCGTAAACCCTAAACCCTAAACAGACTTTTACGGCTAGGACTGCTGCACTGCCCTAAACCCTAAACCCTAAACCCTCGAAAAGCTGCACCCTGGCCTGGATCCCGGGCCAAAGGCTTGTAGGGAGGGCCTCCCAAGTGCTCATCGCCGTCGATCTGCCAGCTTGACAGGTGGTGCACGTGGGCTAAGGCCCCTACTTGGAGGTTCGTGGCTAGTGAAAGTGGGTTCAGAAGAAGGGTCTTTTGTACCTGGCAATATCCTTATTTAGGGTACTCAAAGCTTATAAAGACACTTATAGCTACCCATGAAGCTTCAAGTAGCGAGCATTTGGACATTGAAAAGTGGTGAACGCAAAAAGCCGCTTGCGCAAAGATGTGGGTGGGTTGCGAGGTTGTTACAAACTCTTACTGCAGAGTCTCGCTAAAACACTCATGAAAAACACTACTGAATGATAATAAATTTTCCTAAGCCATGAATTTATCAAACCAAATGCAGGCGGGGATGCCCAGCCCTGCAAGCGCATAGCTATCCAAATCGCCAAAGCTCGGGTCCCAGAAAACCATGAGAAAAAAAAAAAAAAACTCATACCGAAAGCCACACAAGCCGAAGCCCCCAGTCCTTGCAGGACCGGCGACCTGGGGGGTTTCGGAAATTAGGGGCGCCGTATTGGGGTCCTTATTACAAACTATTACAAACTCTAAGCCCTAAACCCCCACCTCGTATGTGATGCCCATGCCAAAGGAGGCGATGGGAATCGGAAGAGGAATCGAAGCGCCCACGGCAGCAAAGAGACTGGGCCCTGGTAGGGGATGCAGGTGGTAGGGTTTAGGGTTTAGGGTTAAGGGTTTAGGGTTTGGGGTTTAGGGTTTAGGGCCACAAACCTCCACCAATGTTCGGTTTGCGGTTCTCACTTGATCACGGGATCGCAGCTGCCACTGGGTAAGACGCCCTACCGTGCCATCATGCCCAAACTTAGCGGAGGCTCGGGTTGAGAGGGTGCTCAGGGCTTTGTTGCAGCGGTATCAGACCAGAATGTGTTGAGCCAATGGCATGAGCCCAGCCGGTTCTTGGCGGGCTGTTGCAATGGTTTAGGGTTTAGGGTTCAGGGCGAACGGCTTGAGTTTGATGATTTTCGAACTCGCCTGAGTTCTCTTTTGCTCGAAGCCCCAGAAGTTTTAATTGGGATGTTCCCCCTTATATTAGCAGTCCTAAAGAGGATTATTTGGGATAAAGGGGGGAACATCCCAAACTCAGAAATTCATTGTGGAGGATCCGCGTGTCGTGTCTAGGTGTTCTCCTTTGGGGGGGTGACACCTCTCGGGCGGTTCTGGGCCTTGGGGCCCTGGGGGTCCTTATCGTGTGGTTTCGGGTGTATGGCCTAGATATGCCCTAGTTGCGACTCTGCAGGAAAACCCTTCGGCCTGGGGTTTAGGTACGAAGCTCCTGGGATTCACGGCCTTTCTAAAGTGCATCACGCTTTCAGGGTCCAGGAAACGATCGCCAACCTGAATCCGATGACGTCCCCAAAACCGAATCGCGGGAGCCTGGGCCGTAGTCCCCGAGAGATTGGTTGAGCGCCCTGGCGCCCTGTGAGTTTAGGGTGTAGGGCCGTATAGGGTGTAGGGTTTAGGGTTTAGGATATAGGGTTAGGGTTTTAAAGGTAGGATAGTTGGAGCAGTCCTCTAGCTACCAGAACCACACGATGCCTGAAACCATGGGTTTAGGGTTTAGGGTTTAGGGCTCCGCAGCTGAAAGCTTAGGAGTTCTGGCAGGCTGGGTGCACTCTTCGCCTGAAGACGCCAATCAACGGGGCTCATCGCAGACTTTCATATCAGAACCTCATGGTGCTCGGAGTATAACCACGTAGAACGCAGAGACCCCGAAAGTCTCAAACCCTGAATGCCAACTGTCTGTGGGTCCTTGAGATACGGGGGGAAACAGTCTTCAAGAGAGCCGGAAGGGAGCCATGGGTTGAGGGGCATAAGATGCGCCTTCCAGCCCACCCCGACATAGCCGCCAACGGTCACACCGGCCATGGATGTTCCTGAACCCCCGATGCAAAAATGTGGGGCGCAGGGCGGCAAACTTCTGCTCGATAAGGTGGCAAGTATCTCCAGAATCTCTCTCTGACAGCTTGCACACAGCAGGCTGGACCCTAAACCCTACTGAAAACCCTAAACCCTAAACCCTAAACCTCGACCGCACTAGAAGAGAGGTCCCGCCACAGCCCCACCAGTCGCGAACAGCCCGATCTCGCGGGTGCGAAAGTCGATGACCTCTTCGAGGCCTCTTCGGGTTTGGGAGGAGGTTCAGACATTGGGGGGGGGGGGTTTAGGGTTTAGGGTTTAGGGTTTAGGGTCTAGGGTTTCATCGCTCACACTCGGACAAGCCGGGCGAGTCACACTCGGTCGCAGAGTCTCTCTGTGAAGTCCATTTGACCCCAGTGATACTCAGCCTGTCAACTCCCACTAGGTTGCCCAGTAACCTAGGATTAAAAAGGGTGCCCTTTTTTGCTTACAGAGGTTTATAAGGGAACCTAGACCCCCCAAAAAGGGAATAAGGGTACTACTGGGCATCCTAGCCCACTTGGTGATGCTCACAGCTGCTCATGGACTGCAGGACCACAGGATACGTGCTAAATCGACGACAAGCCGATACTCTCCCTCAGCACACGTCGTCATCCTCGGCCTACACCCTTTGTGTGGAGATGAGTGTCTTCGGTTCTGGGCTCACAGGGTTGAGGGTCCGCTTGGGGTTTGATGAACCGACGCCAAGGCACCGCCAGCCAAGATCGACGCCCAGCCGCCAATGCCACGAATTCCCAGCTGTGGGACTTTGCCTTCCCCCCGAGGCTTCGACAGGCTCTAGAACCCAATACTTACCGCAAACCCTAAACCCTACACCTTAAAGAAAAACTGAGGGTCAAATTGCGGCTCAAGGTGTGGCAAGTCGGAGTAATTAGGCGGGGGGGGCGGGGGGGTCAGGAGAGGAGACACTGAACATCGAAGTTTCAAGGCTCGCTTCAATCGCCTGGCTGTATGAGACCTAAACCCGAAACCCGAAACCCTAAGCTTTACCCTGGACCCACAAGGAACCCATGCTCCGAAGCACCTCTGGCGACCTCGTCGATGATTTGGCGGAAGCCTTTTGCTTCGCGGCCTTCTTCGTTGACAAGGGTCTAAGCGTCTGCGGAGCATTAAGGTAACAGGTTGGGATGTTCTCCTATACTAACAGTCCTTAATAGGGACTAGTACAACCCCACTGTTGGTACAAGGGGAACATCAGGAACCTCCCAAGTAGCGGGGTACCCACGGGGTCTTGAAGGTGGGGCTCTGTTTTTTTGGCCGTTGCCAAGGTTGTCGACTTCATGTTGGGACCCGCGTGCACAACCTCGGTGTTGGCCACGTGGCTTGCCACTGCTTGAGGCTCAGAATTCCGAATTCTGTTCCTAACCACCTGCAAGCGCACTTATGTGCTCCTGTTAACTCAGGCGGCCCTAAACCCTACGCCCTGCCGGACCCTGCCGCAACAAGACACCTCCTCCCAAGACTAGTTTGAGGGGCCCTAAACCCTAAACCCTAAACCATAAGCCCTGGCCCTAAACCCTAAACCCTAGAAAAGGGGGGGAAGAGGGAGAGGGGAGGAGATTCTGCCAACACATCTACGCCCTCGGCCTGCTTTGGCTTCGCAAGTCTTTTCCTCGAGGCCCTCCTGAACAAATTCAGGGTGTAGGGTTTAGGTGTAGGGTTTAGGGTCGTTTAAACGGCTTTCTGAGACTGTGGGGTTTCAGGGCCTTGCGAAAGCAGGCTTCGGGTTGAGATGGCTGTTGGTGCCGCTGGGCTTCAGGGGCGTGGTAATCAAGTTCGAGGCCTCAACAAAGTTAATTCCCCAAAAGAGGAAGTTGAGCAACTCCCATGTGAAATCCAGAACAGGGACGAAGGTTCTATCACCTGTGCCGGCTAGGGCCGACAAAATCCGTGTTAAAACTTGAGGTGGTATTCTAATGATGGGAGCTCCTGTGTGAAGGAGCCTGCCAACCTACATCCCTAAAACATGGGCCTCAGTGTCTACATAAAGAGTCAGCCACTTTCTGCCCTTGACCCCTTTTTCACAAGGGACTCGTCTGCTGCCCTTTCTGCCCCAAACCCCAAAACCTAGAGCCCCTGAACCCCAAAACCTCAAGCCCCTCAACCCGAAACCCTAAACCTTTAGCTACGACGCCCCCGAATGGGAGCCCATGAAGGTGACCCAAAAGGGCCGAGCTGCTCGGCACCGGTTTATGATTTGTGCTTTGTTTCCCCTGCCTATGTCGACCCCTGCTTGCTATTAAGACGTACTTGGAGGCTCATGGTGTGTATAACACAATGATATCTGTACTTCTAACCCACTTGTAAGCCCCTTAATAAGTCCAGCTATACTTGGGGTATTAAGTACCATGAACCTCCAAGTACCACTTCAGTACTGTTGTACCGAAGGTTCTATCATAGCTTACCTTACTCTTCATGTATTGACTACCCACAAAGTACGGTTTTGGGTTTGGGGTCTCGGATTGGAGGGCCTTTGAGGCTTTTTGTTGTTTTTCATCCGGCCATGTTGGCCACAGACAAGTACTCATGATTTGAGGGCGACTATACGTCCTTGCCAGTCACCGGGCACAATTTCAGTGAGAACGACCTGCACCCTAAACCCCAAATCTTTTTTACTGCTGCACTGCCCTAAACCCTGAACCCGAAACCCTCTTGCCTAAACCTGAACCTGCAACCTTCTTGGGCGAGATGCGCTCTGCTTCTCCAATTTCTCCAGCTTTTTTGTGGCGCCTTTGCCTGTGGCCTCGTCACCACAAGCCGCTCAAGAGGGATTGCGCAAAGTGTCCCCTTGTCGCCCCTTGTTACCTACATGTTTAAAACGGCATTCGGGGAACAGCATGCCTTATGAGCGCTCCAAAACACACCAGCCTCAAGTTCTAACTTGGAACGCTACCTGCGCAATGAAAACCGATCCACCGATCACCGCAACATGCACCGCCCCGCCCCCCTCAACATTAGTCTAGGCAACACCCAGAGCCCAAAAGCGCACAACTCTTACTTTGCAGAACTTCGCCCGACCGCGAACCCTGCAAACCACAAGCCCTTTTTGAACCCTGATCACTAAAGCGTAAAAAAACACACGCACATGCACACGCTCAACAACCAAAGCTAAAAGCCCTAAACAAGCAAACCCGACAGAAAAAAAACTGCAACACCCACAGCTTCCGGAGACGCTATAAGGCGCTGGCCGCTGCGACCTCCATCCTTGCTTTGGGGGCTTTTCGGGTTCAGGGCTTGAGGCAGCCCTTCGAGGGTGCAGGGTGCTTGAAGGGTGGCTTTCAGTGTAAGGGGTTCCAAAATAGGGTTTCGCTGGCTCAAGCTTTTCACTAAGCCGCAAGCCCCCTTTGGCCGTATAAGGCCAAGCAGAATGCCCTATTTTGTTAAGCGGACGCCCCTTTACCACATCAGCAGCACAGTGGGCCGGTCTATTGCGAGGCCAAGCAAAATGCCCTAAGCCCCTTTTTTCAATCTCGTGGTTTTTTGAAGTTATTGTAGGGTCGGATCTAGTAGTACAGATATAGTAGTAAACTTTCCACCTTCAGGGCTTCTGTCGCAGCCCCGGCCTCTTGCCTCATGATATGGCTTGGTCATGGCCTGGGAGTTGGAAGTCTTAGGGTCTTTTGCGGGTTCGTGACAGAAGTTGGCACGCAGACCTCGCCTGCCTTTTTTGCCTTCGCTGTGTGGCTGGACCTCAATGGATGTTTGCGGCAGGCTTCGCCTTCGAGGGCTATAGCCAGCTGCGCCCTAGGCCTTAAAACGAAGTCCGTCGATCCGCCTTCCGTAGGGAGAGTGGAGCGCAGGTAAGATTTCCAGTCCTTGGGGACCAGTGGCTTCAGTGGCCTTAGGGTCGGGCTCAAACCATTGCTCGCAGTCCTACATGTGTTGAAAAGATCGAGGCCATGACGGACAGATTTGGACACGAGCGGACATCTCATGTTTGAACTCTTCGGGTTTTCAAACCTCTCGCCCCTTTGCAAGGGCAAGAGCTGCAGCCAAGCATGCGTAGCCACAGTTACCCTCGTCCCCAGTCTCGCAAGGGGCCACATTTGCACCGTCTGACACAATGGCCCTGACCAACCAGTGATTGTGCCGTTTACCTGGCAGGTGTAAGACTGTCACGTCCTTGCAGTTAGCTATACACAGACAGTCCATAACACCATGCGTCTACCATGTGTTTGGGGCGCTCGTGAGCTCGCAAGCACGCAGCTGCGTGTTCAACTTGTCCGGGCTCAGCCTTAGCCCAAGACAATTTCCGCCGCACGGCCTAAAAGCTATGGGAACATTTTCCTTGGCAGCCTCTTCACTTACGCGGGCATAGCATTGACAATTTGACTCGTCCGCCACTTTCGGTATCCACCAGACCGGTTGCTGGGGCCCTTGGGTCTCTCCTTGTTGAAGAAAAAGGCAGGTTTTGTCCGTCATATTGCTGGATGCTCAAGTCAAAATCAACGCTCAGCCTCAGATACCCCTGCAACAAATTTCCTTCAACTCAATTTCTGCTTGCAGCCTCCAGCTCGCGCCAACCGTAACAAGAGGGAACCTTGCCCCCCATAAACTTCCGAAGGGCCATTGCTGGATTACGCTGTGTGTTTTCCCACGCATCCTGACATTTTGGACAATCGTGATTCGGCATATCGAGAAGGTCAGCCGCAGGGCCACCGTCGCTTGTGACCTTGACCGGTTGCTTACGGAGTTTTCGTAGCTTCTTCAGCAAGGACAAAACTCCAAACCCGGACAAGCGTGGGAAGAAACAAGGCTTGCCCACCTTCGGGCTTCGCGTCAGGCGATCTTGCATACAACTCATATAGGCACAGGTGGAGTGTCGGCAATGCCATGAAGCTGGGCCAAGCGCCGCACGTCACGCACTTGCTCAACACTCTTTTCCAGAAGCGCTTCGCCGTACGTGAAACGCTCTGCTGCTTTTCCACGCTGACGGCATGAGCTCAAGTTTAGGAGTTTAGGATCTGGCGCAGGGCGGGCAGTGGCATCAGCAGCACGGATATTCACTACATTAAGTGCGTACAGTAGTGTGGTACCTTTGCCTCTACCCCTACCTCCCGGCTTGTTTCCTTGTCCTTTAGATTTCGCAGCGGTCTCTGTGTCATTGTTGGCCGGTTCCTGAGCTGGCGATCAGGATTCCTGGGTGAATCGGGCGAGTAGGGCAGCCTTGCGTTCGGCGATCATGACTTGGGCCCTTCCTAGCCGTCTGCAGCAGACTCGTGGCGCGTGTAAGCACAGTGCCCGGCTGACGTTTGGGACCTATCAAAAAATGCGTTGCGAGGCTGCGAGGAGGCCTCGCTCTTGCTCTTCTGGCTCAGCTCGGCTCAAAACCAGACCACCGGGTGGATCCCAAAATTGAAGCGTGCTCAAGTTAGAAAGTGGAACCGCACATGCGGAAAATGGAGCCGCCTCAAATCAACAAACATATACAATAGGGGTTAAGGATTTGTGTCAGTCTTGTATGTTGCTTTACAAAGAATTTTGCTAATACGTCTTAAAGGGTTCGGGTCTTGGGGCAACTTTGAGAGTTCAGGGTTTGAAGATTAAAAAATCAGGGTTTCGGCCTCCCTAAACCCAAAACAGAGCTTGGGTGACTATCGAGAACCCTGAACAGAACCTCAAACCTTAGACTCGCTCCCCAAACATCATAAACCCCACGAACCCTCAACCCTACAACCCTAAAACCCAAGCCCTAAACCCGAATCACTCCCCGTGCCTCCGGATGCTGTGGCTTGAGCCCATCATTGCTCAGTTTGTTCGTGTATCCTCATGCCTCCAACCACTGGGAAACTAGAAGTCTATATCAAGCTACCCTGCTAAGTAAGTAACCCTAAACCCGAAACCCTAAACCCTGCTTCACTGTTGTAACTTAAGACATCATGTCGGGCATCTCCGTGGCCGTCTCCTTCAGAAGGCGGACCTCCTTGTCGAGTTCAGCTTCGGACTTCTTCCTCAAAGGGCTCGCACGCGGTTTAGGGTTTAGGTTTCTAGGGTTTGTTGTAGGGTTTTAGGGTTTAGGGTTTCGACTCTCACACTGGCGCACACTCTGGCGAGGCTCCGAACGAATCCAAGACACGACAACTGGGTTTAGGGTTAGGCGGGGGGTGGGGGGTGGACACGGGCCTAGGCAGGATTCCTAAGCAAGGCACACCACCTGAACTCCAGAGCGAACTCCAGAGCCAGTCCCCTCTTTATTTAGGGCTCTACCGGGCCTTCCATGGATTGTAGGGGCGTCGGGTCCTTCAGTATCTATTGCAGCTTCTCTTCTGGGGGGAAGGAGGGCACGGTTGACCTGAGCACGCGACGTGCCCCACCCCTTCGCCAGTCTTTCACTTAGATGCCACGCTCGGTTTGGTCCATTCCAGATCGCGCTCTCGCCGCGGCCGCGGGTTTCGGGGTGTTTTATTTGAATAGTCGTGCGGGTTCTCATAAGCGGGAATTGCAATGTCTAGGTGTTGCGAAGAGCCCCTCACCTCTTGGCGTGCTCTTGCGGTGCTTCTATTCTTCTCCCTAAAACCTAAACCCTAAACCCCTAAACCACGTTTTGGGGGGCTATGAAGGCAAAGTTGTTTTGCCTGATGGACGAGTCGCCCCTTCTTGTCGAAGCCGTCCAGGACCGCCTCAGAACTCCTCAAGCCCCGAATGACCTCTGCCTCACCTCAGTTGCACTGCAAGGTAGGGGTTTAGGGTTTAGGCTTTAGGGTTAGGGTTTAGGGTTGAGGGTTTAGGGAAGATTCTGGGAAAGTTTATAGGCTCTAGGATGTGGCCTCTTGCTGGCGGTGCTCATATAGGTGTTTCGCGGCTTCGTCACATGCCCAGCAAAGTATCTTATCATGTTGATGAAAAAAACCCTAGCCAGCGCTCTGCGAAGGTCTCGTACTTGGTACGGACAACGACGTAGAAACAAACTATTCGCGTAAACTCGGCTGAGGATTTCACCGCGGCAACATAGCACATACCAGTTAGAGATACCCTTCACCCTCCCCCTCATCTTGGGCTGCCAAAGCGCTTCTAATCATGCTGGCGTTGGGCAGGTCTGCCGCAGCCCTGGCAGATGTTTCGGTGGAAAAGGGATATGGAGATTTGACCAAAACAAGTTCTCTGGGGCTCTGGATGCTTGGGCCTTGAGGACTTTTTTGGGGTTCGGGCTGAGTACCTTCCAACAGCTACAAGCTTCCGGTGCGCCTCCCCCCCGCCTACTCCAGGAATATATTGAGGGAATAGTAGGAACCCTTTTGCATCCTTAGTCGGCCGGTAAAGAGGGAACCCTTTTCGCCACTGGTACTCAGGTAACCCTAAACCCTAAATCCTAAACCCTATAAACCCTATAAACCCTATAAACCCTATAAACCCTAGAAACCCTAAACCCAAGCCCCTAAACCTTTTCAACTTTCAACCCTTTTACCCTTTTACCCTTTTACCCTTTTACCCTTTTACCCTTTTACCCTTTTACCCTTTTACCCTAAACCCTAAACAGACCGAAAAGCGATCAATTAAGGCTCGCCCAAGTGCGGCCCTGCACTTGTGCCTCCTCCCTGTGGGTCCATGTGCCTAAATAGGGGATATCCTTCCGTTTAGGCTTTAGGGTTTAGGGCTTAGGGCTTTGGGCTTAGGGTTTAGGGTTTAGGGACCTTGGCCCCCAAGTATATAATCACGCGGCCTCTTGACCCTTATAAGCTTCTAAACCCTAAACGAAACCCGACGAGGGCCTTGCTGTTCTGAGGTTCTCTTGCTTGGGAGGCGAAGACTTCGAAGAGTCACCGACATCATACCCTGGTTGTTCTATTTTTACATAGCAGCTTTGCCACGATGAGCAATTTTGTCATGTCATTCTTGTGCTCCCTTACTATCCCTGCCCCCGAAGCATTGAAGAAAGTGCCCCATCAACCTAGGACAGACACAAAGCCCCTTCTCTCCCTGCCTAAAAACAAGCAAAGAAGGAAAGCCCCAAAAAGCCCCAGGACCAACAAACAAGCTGGCACTGCTTCGACTCAGCCTTCTGCTGCTTCTGTACGCATTCCTGCACTCACGAGAGTAGAATTGGCTTTGGGCTCATAGCAAAAGGAACCGGCATATGCTCAGTGGCCGAAAAGGAGTCTGGGGGTCCTAGTCTAAATTCTAAGCTCCTGGACGGTTTGCAGTTCGGGTGTTCCAGAGCCAATGGAATGCATTGAAGGAGAGGTGCTCTGGCAAAAATCGATGTCGGTCCTCATTCTTCTTCTGCATCTTGGCGAGGAAATAACCGAATGCAGAACGGATTGAGTTTATCAGGCCTTTGCCAAAGTTCATCACCTCAGACATCCGGGTTGTTGCTTACGGTCTACAGCACCCTCCTTCAAAAACCAACCCCTTTTTGCAGCCGGACTGAGGGCGTCGCCGGAATACTGCTTATCCCACTTCGCTCCATCTCATGATATTCACAAGACAGCGCAAGCCAAAAACATGCAAACGAACAACATCCTTTTGGTAGTCACAGTTCGTCATCAGACATGGACGATAGCCTGCGCCTCAGCTCGTCTATGGGTAAGAGGACTTGACAGCGGCGGAGGGCAACCTCTCGTCGATGTGAACTAGCATCAGAAAGTGACTGAGGAGTTCCCTGCGTGCGCCCCGTCTGCCGACAATGGCCGAGGGCACCATCTCGTTGATGCGAATCTGAAAGTGGCTGAGGGGCTTTCTGCGTACGGCCAATCTGCAGGTGTTCTTCAAGGTCCCCATGTTGACTGTGATTCCCAGCACCAGCGTTGTTATTGGCATCCACACTGTTGCCCTGTCCGAAGCCATTCCGCACCATGTCTTGGTGCTCCAGTCTTTCCAGCCTTGCCATCAGCGCATCTGTGGAGGACTGCACTTGCCGGAACACACTTTCCAACAAAGCTGCGCACTCAGCTTGCGAGACCAGCTCTTCCGAAGTTTGGGTGCCAGTGTTAGCGACCCGTCCTTGCATCGGGGCATCTCCACATTTCAACCGGCGCTCTGCAGGAGAATCTTGGGCCCCTTCACGTTGAGACACGCCAACTGACATATTGTTGGATGGACTGAGTCTGGGTTGTTTGCAATCCAAGCCCAGTCCATCGTACAAGCAGATTTGACGTTTCAGCGTACATGGTGTTGATACAAGGTGCTGAAGAGCCCTTCGCAAGCAGTATGATACTTCTCGATTCGGTGTCTTCTGCGCAAGTCGGATTGAGTAAGCGATACATGATGACAGCTTCCGATACCCAGAACTTGTCTCCATGGCAGCAAGGAATTACGAATTGTCACTTGCCTTATTCAGGCCTCGTAGCCAAAGCTTGAGCCGTACCCCTAAACCCTGAACCCTAAACCCAAAGCCCTAAACCACCTGCTTCAGCTTCTTCTTGAAAACTCACAACAATGGCATCGCAGCGCTGCGGCCAAGGAACCGAGCGGGCAATCCGATGGAAAATCGTGCCCTTCTCCTGCACATGCATCCAGTCGACGTCCAGGGCTCTCCTAGCAACAGCTTTACAGGTGCTTTTCTTTTGTCGGAGGCCCAGGCAACTGAGGCAGCATAATAAGTAAGGTTCTAAGTCCTCTGAGTTGGGGGTCGCCCAAAAATCCAGTCACAGCCGATGTACATGCTTAGTTCCCTGAACATTCAAGTAGGGGCGCTGTGGTTGGATCCTTTGCAACCTGAACCCTCTTCATCCTAGCGACCCTACAACTCCTAAAGCTGCATAAGCTGCCATGCTCTGGAACCTGCAGCTGGGTTTAGGCCCAGGCCTAGAGAGTTTTGGGCTTATATAGGGCTCTTTGAGTTGTGGGGTGATTTGGGGTGATAGGGCCTAGCACTTACACGCATTTGGAGAACTCCAAGACAGGGCAAAAGCGTACCAATCGGCTACTAAGAAAACCGAAGGCCAAAAACCCTGAACTGACCCTCCCCCTAATGCAAGGACGTCCCTGGGGCCTGGGGCCCTGTAGGGCTAGGGATTGAGGGCTTAGTCTTTGAGACAAGCTTAAACCGGAACCGCAATCTGGGCTTGTGGAAATATACAGGTGCCGATTGACATGGAATGGCCATTTTGGGTGCGTCGGAAATGGATATATGGACTGCATGATGATAATATCGACTGTGTTTAGCTAGCGCCCCTTGCAGTTGCATGCATATGCCTTAGAAGCTGTAAGTCAAGATCGTCCCGGCAGACTCTGAAGCTTGTTTCTGAGCGCGCGGGGATCTCTCGCCGAGCAACTCCACGGGAGATTGCGGAGCACTGCTCGTTGCCACACCCACGATTCTTGAAGCTTGGCCGGGCTGTGTAGGGTTTAGGGTTTAGGGTTTAGGGTAGTTTAGGGTCTAGGGTCTAGGGGTCAAGGGTTTAGGGTTTAGGGGTCAAGGGTTCAGGGTTAAAGGGTTTGTAGGGTCAATAAATTGAAGCCCGTGGCCGGGCTATACTAGGGGTGCGGGCCCGTTGGTGGAGACCGGTGAGCGTGCTCTAACAGTCAACCCTATAGCTTCAGATCTATCCCAGGCTCTGGATCATCGACTTCATAAATCTTCTTTGGTATAGTACAATCAGTACCTAAGTCCATGCAGACACTCCACAAACCTGATCAAGTGAAACGAAGCATGTGCTCTGAGGGGCCCGACCCTCTGACAGTTTCGACAACGAACTAACTGCCAGGTCCGACTTCTTCCACCCCATTGAATTGAATTGAAAGCCCGCATCTCGGCTGAGTTCACGGCTCGATACCTGTGGGGATGCGATGTACTACCGAAGCTGGGCATACACGAACCGATAGCCTGCAACTCATTGTGGATGCCCTCGAAGAAAGAAGGGTCGCCGGTGACCCTTCGGCATATGCCCAGGCCTCTCATTGACGTTAACACAACACGCCTACAAATGACAGGTCGACTCAAGCATGTTCAGTTTGGCACTTACCAAAATAGGGGGTCCCCCACATCCCAAGAATACCACAATCCTACAGGGAAACCCCCACAAAAAAAGGGTCACACCTGTTTTTCTTTGCGGAAACCCCAAACTCTGGCTGATAACCGACTCGTTAGGCTGTCCGTGCTGCAGGCGGCACTGTCAATGGTCCTCTTCATCCTTAGGAGAGAGATCCACCACAGTGGAAAGGGACTCATGGAGATTCCCGAACATTGCGGCTCGAGGCAAGAAAAAAGGGCCGCTTCAAGCGGAATCTCACGTTTCTGTTGTTTCGGAGGGCGGTGGCCTCTACGCGCGCCGTCCGCCACGATTAGACTATGCCTCCGAAACAGACGCTGTGAAGTCTTGTGCCCACGAGGCCAAGGTCCATCGAGTGGGATCAGCTTGACGGTTTACATTGAGCTTGCATGGGGTTTACGTAAACGCAGATCGAAAATGTCGTGTCAAAGTCTTGCGAACTGACAAATGCAGCAGTCATCTCCTGCCACGAGTAGCCAGGCCCTGCCTACGTGACTACGACAGCACGACAAAAGAACGATTGGCACAACAATCCCGGACAAGGCACCTACTTGTGCCCGGCGCTCCGAACCCTAGAGCCTATAGGAAATGTCACGAGCCCAAGCTTTGATCCCCTAAACCCAGTGCTGAAAAGGCCGGGGTTGCTCACGGCTTTGACAATCCGGTTTTTGAGATGTTGAAGGTCTTTTGGGCTTGCGGCGTTTGGGGTTTGCGGTTTTGGATGCTTCGGCGTTTTTTGGTGGATTTGTCGCTTTAGGGTTTAGGGTTTAGGGTTTGAGGTTCCGAAAGGGACATCGCAGGGCACAGGACTACGCAAGCCTCACAGTGCTGGGTGAAACGACGTCAGTTGAGGCACAGCGAAGTTTGGTCAGTTGAAAACATGCCAGGTGCCCCAAGCAGTAAGCCCGACAACCCCTGCAAAATTCGAACTCGTGTCATTCCAGAACCCTAGAATTTCACGGTTTTTTGAACACTGAACCCGAAACTCCAATCTTGAGAGCAAACAGAGAGACCCTAGCCAAAACCCTAAACATCCCTAAAATTGACAAGCCCCCTTTTGACCCCAGACTCGGACCAGCTTGAGTTTTGGCCTCATAAACCCTGAACCCTCTTGTTGGGGACCCATGAGAATCTCAACGCCACACCAGGCAACTTGTGGCCCGACCCAATATTCCTGGTTCTTCGTAGGAAATTACGGAAGAAGTCTGCCCCCTACACATCGTGGGGTTGCCAAACCAATTCCGGTCCCCGTTTATACTCCCCACCCCTCTACAAAATCAAGACCCCCCGCAGGACCCCTAACTTTCGGAAACTGCCCATAGCCTCTTTCGGAACCCAAAGTCCCGAAATCCCTACCAAGAACCAGGAAGCTTGTGCTTGAAGTGCTCTTGGTGGCATCGGGGTGTGCACATCAGCTCCAGATGAGATTTGGAAGATTTTGTGCTCCAACCCACAACTCTGGCTGGCTCATTTCACCTCATACGCCCACATTGTTGATGTTGTTCACTTCTTTCTTCTAATAACTAGAGAACAGAGCGAATGAATGTACTAAATTACATGGACTTTGAGGACGCGTGAATTTAGTGAATGAGTGAGCGCAGTGAATAAAAGCCAAAATTTGCCCTTCATTTCGTTAATTGGGCGAATTGTATGGTAAATATCTGGCCCGAAATTCTCGTCTTTCGTTCATTTCACGGGTTTCGTGCAATCACTCACTTCGTTTATCCGTTCATGCAATTCACTTCATAAACTCGCTTCATAGCGCATGCTTACAATTAAAATTTGTTGTATGTGTGTGTGTCCTTATCTGTAGGTAAACAGCCCCGTTACAATGTAAGTCTATTGGAGGGGCTTTTAACACAGCATGCAAGGGCCCTTAATTGATATTGTTACGGGGCCCAGAATGCTAATATGCTTCTAGCCCCGTACAGTATTCTAACTAAGGGGGAAAGGGCCCTTAATAGTGCTATTTAGTGCATACTTGTAATATAATTCACGCGTAATTATGCACAAAAATTATCATTAAGGGCGCAGGCAGGCCAACGACGTTCTGACGGTGTCTCGACTGCAGGCGCACCCGAAGCGCACTGAACCGGCAAAGAGCTCACACACTGTTGCGCACGACGACCGGGGCTGCCGTTTCCGCGGGCAACCCCGTTTCCGCGTCTGCGATGCTTTCGCGCAAGGATTGGCGACGCTCAATCGTGACGCTGTGGATGTGGCTGAAGATGGACCTTAGTCCCTAAGGCTCCATGTACCCATATAGTAGATACCTAGGCCTTAAAGGGGTTCCTACAAGGGTACCTTAAGGCCTAGGTATCTACTATAAGGGTACATGGAGCCTTTGGGAGTATGACTAGGTTGGGTGGTTGGGGCGTAGCCAGGTCTGCAGGCAGGATGTTGGGTGCATCAAGGTGTGTCAGTTTGGGTTGGGGCTGCACATGTGCAAATAATTGTGAGGCAGATGCACTTCCTGTCCTTAAAGCGCATAACCCATGGTTGGAGTAGAGTAGACCTAGCAAACAGCTCAGCGCTTCGGAAAGGCAAGCAGTGACCGAAACCTGAGCATGCACTAAATGGTTGTCCTCTTGTGATGTGAAGCAACAAGTAATTGCGCAAGTTAAGTATATGTTAGATGGTATCACAGATTTGTGTACCTTATACATTGTGTGTTATATACATATGTATATATATATAGAAACTGTTTTCGATGTGGGACTGACGGGTTCTGTCATAGCAATCTCCGGAAGCGAGCAGACTGCACAGAATCAACACGTCATATTCGTCATATTCCAGCGACTCTCTGACCTTTTTTTAGGGTTTAGGGTTTAGGGTTCAGGTAACGTTTAAAACTCCACCAAGCAGTAAGCCCATGACTCTGCACCAAACTTAGGTAACAATCCCTTGTTGCATCGGAACTCGGACTTCGGAAGGCCCTGTGAGTATCCCTAAACCCTAAACCCTAAACCCTAAACCACCCTGCATCTGGTGTTCAGAATGGGTCTCGACAACTCTGCAAAAGTATGCAAAACTCAGTCGGGGGGCTGGTTGAACACCTGCTGCACATCCACTTCTTCTTGGTCCTGACGGCTTAGACTATACTCCCCTTAGAACCTTAAGAAAACATTTTTACTGTCCTTGGAGTTTTATGTAAACAAAAATGATTCCCAAGGAGGATATAGTAGAAGCACCACGAGATCAAGACAAAGTGATCGCCGGAGAGTGGCTATGGCGTGCTTACACACTGGCCAAGATATGTCCATCAGCATGATCACGAGCCATCCGTCGTTGAGCCTACCTTGCCCCCTACGCCTGCACATCATTCGATGCGCCTTTTGTCCATTGAAGCCCAGGTGCCTTTTCAGGATACGCGAGCCGTAGTAATTCACCCAGCAGGACCTCACATTCAGAGTACAGCGAACGCATACTACCATGAGAAATCGCTCCAAACAAGAAACACGACCCTGGCCAAGGTTAGCACACTGAAGATGAACACTTTAACCCTAAACTGCGAATTGCTTAAGAACCCCCCCCAAAAAAAAC